TGTTTACGTACGAGCTAACTAGCAGCTACTGTATAGGTAAGAACTAATAATTAAAACCACATTTTATTTTATATCACAGGAATCCATATATACTATATACTTTTTTTGTGTGTGTGTATGTCTCTATAGCAATTAAAAACATTTTTTTCCATTGTTATTAGCACTAATAACGGAGTTTTTTAGAGGGGCGGAACAAGTTAATTTTTTGGGCAAACATTTTTTTCCATTGTTATTAGCACTAATAACGGAGTTTTTTAGAGTGCCGGAACAAGTACATTTTTTTGGGGTTATTTCTTATGGGAAACAATGATTCAAGATACGAGCACCTCGAGTCACGAGCTCGGTCCTGGAACGGATTATGCTGGTATCTTGAGGTTCCACTGTATTGGATTATGGACCATTTTATATTATAATTTCATATCTAGGTGTGACTGAAATACACTTGATGAGGCATATATATATATTTATATATATATGTGTGTGTGTGTGTGTATACATACATATATGTCTTATATATATTTATATTTCTTTATATCTCTATTTATATATGAAATATAAACATAAATATATATAAACATATATACACATACATGAAAAATACATGTATATATAAATATATAAATATATAAATATAAATATATAAATATATAAATATATAAATATATAAATATATAAATATATATAAAGAATTGCTGTAAACATAAACAAATCAATGGCTTTGGTCTTGGACAGTTGTTCGCTCTGAGTGTACGTGTCTGAGAGCAAGGCAAATACCAACCTGTCCCACTACTGGTTTCTGACAAGCCGAACAGTTCCCCTTGGAGGACGTTTGAACCCCTTGTCGGCTCAGATCTGACTGCAGCAGTCCCAGCATGCTGTCCAAAGAGCCGCCGGGCGAGGGCTGAGGTGGGGCAACCACCGGCTGCTGTGGTGCTGCCACGGCTGGAGTGACAGGGGCAGCAGGCTGTAGAAACGAGAAAAAAAAGGTCCGAATTTTCCTGATTGATATGAACAATGGGTTTAAACTGTGGGCTGGACAGCGCTGTGTGCAGACCATTAGAGCCTTACTGTGCTCTGGACTCTGAAGTCAGATAGAGATGCCATGAGTTTGTCTAACTCCAGTGTGGCCGATGTCGCTGATGGTTTAGTTGTTGAGCTACAAGACAAAAGACCATTGGAAAAAACACGTGTTTGTTTGAATTTCAAATAAGAGAAAATAAAAGCAAAATTCACCTAGAAGGTAAAACTTGTTACTTAAATATATATATATATACTGTAAATGTATATGCTTCAGTCTATGTAATCTTCACAAATCAATTGATAGAATATTTAGACTGAAGGATGAATTTTCTACGATAAACCACAGAGGTTGGCTTTTGGTTTGGGCAGACATGGCTTAGTTATGTGTATTTCCGCCCTCACCTGGAGGAGCTGGTACTACATCTCCAGTTGACTTTGTTTATCTCAACACACCTATGTGCCAAAGGGTGACTGTTGACACTTTTTGTTGTAATGGCCTGATAAGGTACAGGTGATAATAATGATTCCCAGAGACTTACATCCAGATTTATTTAAAACAGAAAGACAAATTAATTTAATTAAATTAAATAAATTTAATTAAATAATAATAAAAATAATTAAATTACTTATGCAGAAAATCAAAGCAAAAATAAAAATAAAAAAAATATAAAAAAATGTTATGTCATATCTATTATATTATATATATATAAATATTAAAAAATATATTCTGAGAATCATCTTTCTGACTTGTTTTCAGTGGTTGTTAAACCATATTAAATGTCAAAAATTGAATTAGAATATATTTGTTAATTAGGGCCACTTAATGTTCTGAAGTCAAACTGGCAGAAACAATTTTAAATCAATATATAGAAAATATACTGTATACATAGAAAATTACACACAGTATGTTAAGTCAATATTTTAAGTCAGGGTAAAAAAAAACGGCTGTGTCAGCATGTTCCCACGGCTTTAACAGTTGTAGTACGAACTACGGGTGGACCTGTTCGTTTCAGTACCTGGTGGAGGACGACGTGGCTTTGTCCTTAGCCTTGTCATCTTTCTTAGAAGAAGGAAACTGGGCCAGAATCTCATCTAACAAAAAAAACAACGAATCACAGTGAGGGCATGTTTCGGGAAGCTCGGTGGGAAGGCATAGTCAAATGACAACAAGAGAATGAACAGCAACCTGTGATGTTGAACTGAGTAGCATTGAGCTCCTGCAGCAGGTGGTCCAGTTCGCTCAGACCTCCCCCCAACAGTGAGGTGGAGGAAAAGGCCGGCGGAGGATCTGCCGTGCGGGGAGACCGCGGTTTGCAAACTGTGCTGTAAGAAGCATAGAGAATCCAAAATCAACAGAGATCATAAAGCATCTTGTCACTAGGAACTTGAAATTCACAATATTTTTTTTTTTACTCTGATTAAGGCGTATTTGCATTTTCTTACGACAACTAGGTCAACGTTTTATCACAAATATTGAAATAAGCTATGAAATGTGACGTGAGGTTTCAATGTGGAATTTGCATAACTTTTTGCGCAATGTGTTTGATTACACGTCAGCTCAAATGGGACAAGGCGTTCACGTGCACGATTAGCACCACCTTCCGGACGAAAAGGGAGCTACTGTACATGCTTTCTATTTCCATCATTTCCAACATTTGCCAGTTCCAAAAAAAAAAAAAAAAAATTAAAAAAAAATTAAAAATTAAAGATTGCAAAGATTTTCCACCAAAAAGCAGTTTCATTTTTTGGGCAGATTTTTTGCTCACATATAATGCACATTTACATGCTGCCAGAAGCAAAACCATTAAAACCATCAAAAATAAATCAATCAAAAAATATATGTATAAACCTTTGAAGTTATACACAGTGACGGCTGCCGTCATGGTAGGGTAAAAAAAAAAAGGGGAAAAAAAAAAACAAAAAAAAAACAAGCCAAGGACGAAATTACCTGTATAATTTGTCTGGTTTTGAATTCTGTGTTGAATTCATTGCAGCAGACACAGTCTGTTATAGTGGAAAAACATCAACAGAGGGTTAACGCATGTGACATGTGCTGGGAGAGGTTAGACCAGGTCAAATTAAAAAGTGCAGAGTGTTCTTCTTGCATTAATACATGCTCGATACTGGGTTCGGCACATCAGGTTTAAAGATCTGATTTACCAAAGCTGAAGCAGACACACAGCAGGTAAAACATCTTTATGAACAAGCAGGAGACCAGGAAAATAGTAGTTGGCCGCGAACACAGGAGTTAGGTAAACCATTTTATGACGTTGTCTTAGGGACAGTCTAATATTAATTACTATATTAAAATGATACAAGTAAATAAATGTAAATTTTCTATTTTTCTATTATTACATAGGAAAGAATAGGATAGGCTAGGCTAAGATAGGCTAGGCTAGGCTATGATAGGCTAGGCTAGGATAGGATGGACTGGGACGGGATAAATTCAGATTAGATGGGATTGAAAGAAAAAAAATGTAATCCCACAATGGGGAAATTGATTTACAACTCAAAGGATGCCACAGGTGGGGCTTGAACCCTGGACCTTCCGCATGTAAGGCTGCGTGGCTAACATGGCAGACGATTTCTATTAATGACACCTAAAAAAATCCTAGAAAAAGCGACCTCTGTCAAGTGATGGTTTTCATATCAGTGACATGGACTTGTACAAATATGGTTAAGGTTAAAGTTGAACTTTACTGCACTGGGGAATTATTGGCAAATATGGACTTTCACTGGTGTCCATGGCCACAAATTAAAAACACTCTCATGAATGGCTTTATCACCGGAAGCGAACATTGACCAAACGCTCTACCTGCTGCGGCGTATAAGCCGGTGGTGGCGGCCTGGCCTGAGCCTGATCCTGAGCAGTAGGATCCCCATTTTTAGGAGGATCAGATGTAAGCAGCACTGGACACCGAGCTAGAGGAGAGCCACTGTTCTCCAGGTCGGCAAGAAGTGCATCTGCAGAGAAGAACAGAAAACATATGACACAAAAAAAACAAAAAAGAAACTGGATGAAGACTAAAAAGACATGAATGTGATGATTCATGAGGAGGTTGACAATGGGGATTAAAGATGGACGATGAAGCAGCATTTTCTCAACTTAACTTAATCTGCGGCAGGGGTGTCAAACATACGGCCAGCGGACCGAAAGCGGCCCACTGGGGTGTTCAATCGGGTTGATGGAATTTTAAATAATAAGAATATGAACTCTTCATGTTCCAAATATTTTTTTTATAAAATTATATTTCATTATATATGAATAAATATATATTATATTTTGTACTTCTTTGCATGAAAACAAAGGGGGGAAAAACATGGACTTGGATTGTTATATAAAGTTAATATTTTTACCCCCAAGTGGGCTGGGCAAGTACATCGAATTAGGAACCAAAACGAGTTTGTCCCTGATCAATGGCATTTTGCACATTTCCCATGGGAACTTGTTAGCTAGCAGCGCATACGTTAGCTAGCAGTGCATACGTGGAGGAAGGCTTTGTTTACATCTAGCTACATTCGAATTTAGCTACATTCATTTTCTTTTGTTTTTTTTGTTTTTTTTTGGGGGGGGCGGGGGCGTTAATCTTCTGATGTTTTCATGTCCTTGATTATGATGTTGCCGCTTGTTAGCGTAGGTGAGAGACATACGTAGTTGAGTTCAGACTTGCGCGTTGCACTGTAGGAACAGAATTTCAACGTAAGTCAAATTTCAAAGTCAAAAGAACCGCCTGTACACATCTCCACATGTTTATGTCCTGGCGTGGGTTAACCAGTTTATCAGCATCCAATAATGGGTTTTTAATTCAATTGATTCCGTAGCCGAAACCTGCTTTGCAGCTTTCCGTGCAGCACGTTAGAATAAGCGGCGGGACGTGAGTGACATGAAAGACAGAATGAAAGACACACACACAGAAACGCATACACAGACTGTTACGTACCAAACACAACAATACGAGGACTGAGAGGGTAGCTATGCGGATCAGGCACTCCTGAGGAGAGACAGACAGCCTTGTGACCAGTGCTAGACATGGACGACAGTGAGCTTTCCTAATGCACTTAGGAGTCGAGAGAGAAAAGAGCACACAGGACGAGGCAGGACGAGACACATTTCAGCATTCAGTTACGAGACATGCCAGTGTGAAAAGAGAGAGAGAGAGAGAGAGAGAGAGAGAGAGAGAGAGACGAGGCGGGAACCTGTTTGGAATATCAAAAAAATCAGCATCTGCACATTCAGAAATACACTCACTACACGGTCACAGCTGTATGACATCATTCAGTTCCGGGGGAACAACTGGACGGAAGAGCAGTGTTTCCTACATTCTTTAAATGGAAACGTAAATGCGTAAAAGGTGGCGAGCCATTGTACACCAGATGGCGACGTAGGAGCCGACCACGATAACGATCGGGGGGGAGTTGAGGTCAACGTTGTCCGTATTTCCTGCACGTGTTACAGGGTTACAGATGATTTCGTAAAGAGTAAAGCTATTCATAAGCATTTCCCTCTAATGGTGAAACATATTTGACAGTAGCTTTGTATAGGGCTTCACAAATGCATTCTGTTCAGAAATTCTTTCATTGTTCCGGCCTGAGCCACCGTTGATGGAAGACTTGTTAAACAGAAACATGAGCGGTCGCACAGCCGTAATCCATCACTGATGATTCACGCGTCTGGAGAGACCATGTGGAGAGAGTAGTGTATATACTGTGTGCCCTTTTCCTTCCTGCTGTGTCTCCCTCTCTCACACACACACATACACACATACTTGCACTGACTAAACTGCTCTTATAAGGAGTCAGAATCCCCTCATTGGGAATTGTGACCATATTTAGAGCTGCTGCTGCTGATGTGTTTGCCTTGGCTTGAAGCCACTCTAACAAGCAGTAAACTTACAACACAGTGTCAGACAACAGCACAAACTCGTTTTTTTGTTGTTTTTTTTCTTTCCTTCCATTCTGAACACGGCCACTTCCTCACCACCAGCGGCTCTGCGTGTTCAATACAATCCAGATGTGCTCGGCTACGTCCAGCAGTTTCTCCCTAACGTAGCTGGGAAATCAAAATCCTAAGTTCTGATGCGGACCGCCGAAAAAAAAAAAAAAAAAAACACGCTTGTGGGTGAGGGCAGCTATGGCAAGAAGCGTTTCTATTTTCATTGTGGCTTTTTTTTTTCAAATAGCACTGTGGCCCTGTGCTATTTTCAGAGACTTTTTAACAGCCTCTCATAATGTTGTTCTAACAAAGGAAGGAGGGAAAAACTCCTCCTTCGGCATCGTTATCAGATGAGAACATATACTAAAAAAAAAAAACAACCAAAAAACAAATAAATGTCAATGGAAAATGTGACTTCTCCGATGATTTGTGTAATTGGGAAGTATTATAATAGTCTATGGCTATTCCATTTAGAGAACAACACATAAGTAGTAGTTCAATTAAATCGTAACCTAGGGTGAAAATTACATTTGTAACTTCCTGGGGTCTTTCCACAAGAGTGAGGCTCAGTCACTGCGCACGTTCAAAATGGATGACATCACGGTCGATGCTATGTGCCCTTCTTTCCATCGCTGAGTTATTAACGTTGATGGATGGAGACCATTCACAACTCAGTCAAATCAAATTGTCGAACAACTTATCGAATTACAGGCCTCGCAAACAAGGACAAACCGTTCACCGTCATAGCGATGTACCGAAGTTAGGTTTAGCATGCACTGTGCAGACCTACGTCTGTACGTGGGTGTGTAAATTATTACAGGTAATGTGTTCTATTATTGCTGCGCATCAGTTTCATACCACATTTGGTTTTTAAAAAAAAAAATTGCAACCGAGATCATTAAATCTAACAAAAAAAAAACATTTAACTTGTGGGAATAAATCATTTAAAATTGCTTCTGACGTGCAATCCGACGCCCTTGTTTTTACAGCCATTGTCATCTCCCCCTGGTGGCATAACAGGCCTCAATTTAGAAACCATTTAGTACATGGTGGAAAAGCTTCAAGACCCACTGCAAGTTCTAGTGGAGGATCACTGTGGTGAAACCTAACCTCAGATCCCGTAACTATCAAATGACAGTAGGATGACGCTAGGTGTACTTCCTGTTAGCGAGCTAGCTAAACAGTTTACCTGAGGAGATACGCGATACGCGAAACCAAGCACAACATTTTAGTGTTTTTACTCAGATCGAAACTGGGATCGGTGTGACAGACAATGCTACATTTGGAAATTGATGCGAAGCTTTTCAAAAATATTAGCAGCAGCGACGTCGGATTGAAGGTTTATGCAAGTGGTTTATACAAACCAGGTATCACAATAGTCATTTCTAGTGAATGAAATTTGAATTAAAGATTCATTCAGTTGCGCTGAACATGTGTGTTATTTTAAAAACAGTTGCGCTGAACATGTGTGTTATTTTTTTTAATCCGGTTTATGATTTAGACAGATCTACACATATTATTATAATGCGTTAAAAAGATTCAGAAACGTAAGGAGGAATTAGTCTTAGAGCGTAAGTCACTGCTGAATGTATCCCAACACAATGATAAATGCTCATAAAACAAACATGATATTTTTCTGGCCTATTCCATGAATCTTAATGAATGAATCCTAAAAAAAAACACTACCACCCCTGGCCACTGGTGGGGCTACAGGGCAATTTATAATTGTATACTGGTGGTTCATGTCTAACGTTTTAATTGGGAATTGGGAAACTGACACACAGCAGAATTGTGTCAGTGTCAGGGAGATTTGAAGAAGACATACTTACTTACTTACCCATAATACCCACGGACCAGAAACTAAACACAGATCCCAAAAACACACAGCAAATTATGGATCTCTAACAAACACAATTAAGCTGCACAGTCTGTCCCCGTCAATCACGGCTTAGAGCAGTGGTTCTCAATGTTTTCACCCCCCTATCGAGAACCTGGTAACATGTATATTTCCATCTGTACGAACCACTGTGTGATTTGCTGCCACCTAGTGACTGGAGGCTTGTTAACATTCAAGCATTACAGCAGTGGTACACTTATGTCCAGCGTGCCATATTCCATTGGAAGCCCCTCACGCCCCCCCGCACCCCGTACCTCACCGCGCCCCCCTAAAGGGGGGCCCCCGCCCCACTATTTTTTAAGTACTGGTTTAGAGAGAGAACCCAGGCCTCTGGAAACAAGACTTTATATGCAAACATCCCATAAATCTCTCCCCAAGTAACATGACTAAATCTAAACACAACAATGCACTTTAGCTCTCAAATTAATAATTCTCTGTTGCCCAGTAATTAACTAATATTTGTTTTTTTGTTGTTGTTGTTGCATGTGACTGTGCCAAACATGACTACATATAGTAATAGACCTGAAGAAAGAAGAATAGATGAAAAGTAATTTTGGTGAATTGACTTCTATCTTTAAATATTACAACCAAAAAAAATAAATAAATAAAACTAACTAACCCAGGAGCCAACTGTAATCTCAGTCTTATTTATGTCCTTGGGAAAATACAGAGTATTGAGTGCCAGAAGCAACAGAGAGAGGGAGAGAGAGAGAGGGAGAGAGAGAGGGCAGCTCATTTCCTCTGTTGGCAGCTGTACATTTACTCCAGAGAACTTCAGCCGGACTTAGAGAGTCAATGATACTCACCCAGATCCTCCATGATGTGACCGTTTCCTCTCTCTCTCTCTCTCTCTGTAACTGTGCGTGTGTCACACCGCAGACAGTCCGCGGGACTTAAAGGCGTTAGATGGAACCAAAAAAAAAAGAGAGATAGAGAAGACAGACGGGATACAGATAGAAACAGACGGAGGCTTTTGTCTGCGCCACTCCTCACCAACTTCTCCAACACCGTTATCCGCGGAGGAGGAGGGGGAGAAAGAGGAGGAGGAGGAGGAGGAGACAGACGGAGAGGAAGGGCGTCCCGTTTCTTTTTCCTGCACCTTACTGTGCAGTGCCAGAACCGGCCGGGAGCGCTGAGGGAAGGCGTAGTTAAATCACTGCGGTTACAAACCCCGGACACACGACGTCACCCTGGACATTTTTCGTCCATATTTGGGAGACGAGTGAAAGAATATGGTGGCACTGGTTTGGTGTGACTCGTGTTGTAGTCAACGTTTGTCAGAAAAAAAAGATAACGTAAAAAAACCCCAAACATTTAAAGACATATTAACTTACAAAAATCACTTCCGGGAGATTTCCTCTCAAAATAAAAGGATGGGATATTGTCCCAATATTATATGCAGATTAAGACTGGTTTCCTAAGATATGTATTTAGTAAAGGACAGCATTGTTATGATTTCTTACTTAATTTTAATGTAAGGAACACTTTGTTGTTTACTGAAGTGAATAAGTTTGTTTTCTTTTGGACTCGTCATTGTTGCCAGCTCTACATCGCACAATGAAGGATACAGACGCCACTTAATTTTGCTAACTTTTTTCCCCCTACTGTTTCCCTTGAAGTAACGCACATTTAACACGTCAAGCTGACCTCACAAAACATGAGCTAAATACTTATATTGGCTCTTAGAATGGTTATCTTAATTATGGTATGAAAAAAATGTCCTCCTTTCATATTTTGTTTAGAGTATATCACCATAACACCATACGAGTTCTCCTTGACATTTTCTTAGCACGAATTATTCACTTTTTTCCTAACACTTTGTCAACTTTATTCATTTCACTCATCGGTCCTTCGACTCAATTTACGTACGCGTGGGTTTTGCCTGTGTTTATTACAGAGGGAAGCACTATTTTTCAAGGATGACCCAGCGGACTAACCAACCAGCGGAAGCAGAGTACTAGCCAATCGTCAGGCAGAGTAGGCGGGTCATGCATGCATGCCTTTTTCATTCTGCCTCCTGGGCAAGTTCGAATCCCGGTTAGGGCGGTTGGTACCTTCCAGTGGACTCGCCACCTGCAGGAAGGATTAGGTTGATGAAATGGATGGATGGATGTTGTTTACTGATGCTGGAGCCAGGGTGACTTTAAAGATTTCTTAATTCATTTAGGCATTCCAGAATCATACGTGTGATTAACCGTGCGGACTGAATGTTTTTCTTGAGCGGAAGTGAATCACAATGAATACATTTGCAAAGAATCTTTCTTGAAACTCCAGCCCTGGATCAGTTAATACATCATGTATACAATACAATACAATATGTATATATTTAGAAAGTAAAAGTCACATAATTAAAACTATAAAAAAAGGGTTTAAATGCCTTATTTTGACAATAGTCCGTCTGTAGCAATTAGCACACAATAGGTTTTCTTTTGCTATCTGGTTATTTTTTAATAGACATCTCCACACACCGCAGCAATTCAGAAAACAAAGCTGTGCATATTAAAAATAAACAACGACTCTGCTTTGTCTCTGCAGTTCTTGTGCTGGAGCTGTCATACGTTACAGTACATGCGATGCCTTGCAAATAATTCTAGTGGAAAGTAGTTTGATATTGTTTGATATTACAATGTTATAGTGATGAGCTGGACTCACAGAACAAGCCTTTCAAATGCCTCTTTAGCACTACCTACAGGCCACGGAGAGGCTCAGCGTTTAACAGACCACCAGACTTCCCCTTTAAGGCATGACTACCAATATTACTCCCTAACTAGCTGAAACAAACATTCATTTATGTATTGAAAGCAAAGGACAACATAAAAAACAAAAGAACAAAAAAAGTCATTTAATTAAGCAAACTTACAGTTACAGACTATGTGATTAGAAAAAGGTGCCAAACTGGCAATTGTGACATAACTTATGCAGTTCTTTTTAAAAACTAACGATTAACATAAGAAAATGCTTCCCTGGTGTTTACTGTATGTCATAGACAAAGAGTCCTCTGACCAACAAGTCCCTCTGCTGTGTAAGAGGTATCTGGCATGGTCTCAGTGCATGAAACACACAAAGAACTGAGATGTAAAACACAGAACACAACAACAAGAAAAAAAAAAAGTAACAATAACATAAAGTTCTTTTCTTTTATGAAGTCAAACCAAATATACAACAGAAGTAGGAGAGGCACGTGGAGAGGCCTATACGCAAAAAAAAAAAAAAAAAATATTTCTGAGATTTTGCAGCTGTTGTTTTAAATGTTTCTTATTCATGCATGTTACTTCTAAAGCACTGACACGACTACACCTCAACCCTCTCAGCAATTTTTATGACAATAGTTATACCCCACCCCATACATACATACACAGGCACGCACACAAATGCAACTCGCACTTTTTTTTTTTTTTAAATGTCTCCTTTCAACATGTTCGAGTAGTGGGTGCTTAAGAGCAAGAGTGGAGAAGCAGCACTGCATGTGTGAAAAACAAAGAGTTAAAAATATCTTTGTGAAGCAGATTGCTTAGGAGTGCTGGGATCATAGCATGAAGGTAACTTTACTGAACGTCGTTACCCAAATTATCTTCCCAACCATTTACTGAAATTATATTACATTTCCTCTGCCCCCGCAGCGTTGTCGCTGCAGTTAATCCACACGCTCGCACATCCTTCCATCCTCCCCTCCGACCCTGCCTCCTCCTCAGTATCACTGCACCGTCTGTTCGTTTGCAGTGCTGCCGGAATCCTGGGGCTTCATCACATCAGGAAGTTCGGGGGGGCTGGAAAAGGCCTCGATATGCAGCTGCTCAAACATGTCCTCTGAAGGAGAGGAAACGCAAAGGGTAGAGTTGCACATGTGCCAATGTTGTAAAAAACTGATCACAAAAGTTGACTAATTATACGAGGATTGGCAAACGGACGTTGCCTTGAGACATTAATAAAACAGGCAAAATGTTACAAACAACTGCGGGAACATTTGTGTAAATGTTTTAAATAGAGAAAGCAGTAAGTGTGTAATGTTTCATTTATGTTTAAAAACAACAACAACAACAACAACTCTCTGGACAAAATTAGATTTACCATTTAAACGGAAGGCCAGGCCAACTGTGGCTGGAGCTTGAGGTCTGGCTGTGTGGTTGGTGAAACCACAGTCCCCCAAAGTTTTGCTGTCCTCTAAATACTGGTCATCCTGCAGAACAAGAGAATGTGAGGATATATTTGCTGATGGCATACAGATTAAATGAAACACTTTTATATATATATATTTATATAGCAAAGTATTCCAGGGAGGTATTGGCTAACAGCTTTGTCTATCAGAAGCAACCCATTTTTAACAACTGAATCAGTAGTTATACTACACTCACTGCTGATGTAATCGCATTGAGTCTGTAATGGCAAAAAAAATGACATGTTTGGCCTTAAACTTACTTTGTAAAGTTGTTGGTCTTCAGGTGGTCTTTTAAGAATTCCTTCAACAATTCGCTTCAGCTCATAGACTGTAGTGGATTCCTTGGCATCTGTAAAGATTGTGGTTTTGTGACGCCGAATCATCAAAAACACGTCCTGAAAACAGAGGAGAATAAATTGTTTGTGGGGCAACTACTACTGAAATAAATACGGTATATTTCGAAAAGAAATGGGAGGACGTTTTGGTGACATGAAATTACTTCTGACACTTCAGTTTGAAAGCCCAAAGTCAAGCCCTTATGAATTAAACGCAAGCCCAAAGTCAAGCCCTTATGAATTAGCCCTTATGAGTTTTTAATCTTGGCGTTATTCACACCACAGCAATTTAAATGACCTATTAGCTAACCACTTAACTGGTAGTAGGCCTAGCTATAAATGCGTTATATAAAACAATACGGAGCTAAATAATATAGCATTTATTTTACCCAAGTCCGTGATAAATGGTTTTATTGACTTGTTAGACCGATCAGCTGTCTGACGTAACGTAAAGCTTCCTCGTTTCACAGAAGGCGACTACGTATAGCAAATGTAGCTAATGCTAAATACCAAACACTACTCAAATTAACACGACTAGGTCACACATCTCTTGTCAATTCACAAATCATTAAAATTAAGTCTTCAACTTAACCAAGCATTTCCTCCACATAAACAAATGTACCTCAGGTTCGATAATAATACTAGAAAGTTACCATTTCAAGTGGTCAGCTAGCAGATCAGTTGCGCCAGCCCTGTGTTAAAATCCCAGAATGCTCCGCGTGCGGAAGTTGCGTTACTCCGTTACGTAGGATGGATCCACTGCACGTAGGTCCGTAGGACTGCGTGTTTTCAGAATTTGGCGCGAGGTGGTTCCAGCAGGATTGAAGGGTGGATTTGGAGACGCAGGTTTGTTTGGTTAAAAACAAGCGAATTAAAAAAAAATAATAATGTGGAAAGTTTTAATTTAATGCAACGTTACCGAACTCTGCTCTGACCGAACTGTCAGTCACTTTAACTTATTTAGAGGGTCATTAGATGGTAAGCTAACTGTCTTACGGTTTAGTGTGTCAATGTCTAGCAAAATAGAAAAAGACGTTTATCGGTGCTAGGACAGATAAAGGAATAAAGACAGCAACACATTTGCAGGAAGAATTTAAGTACTTTGTTCTTGATATATTTAAAATGTGTGACAAATTTCGCTTGGCTAACTGTTTTACGAATGTTTTGGGGGGTTTTTTAACGGCAGTTAGTGTCATCCATATACTTCATGGAGAGGTTTTCTTCTCGATGGTTGCAAAAAAGAGTGACAGGTTATCAAGCGCTAATGTGTTAGTTTCTGTCTCCTGCTGATTGGAAAGTACGTTAAGGACTGTAACGATGTGACGTCAGCCCTTTCATCTTTTCACTCAGTTTCGAACAAAAGCCTCTAAGATGACGTAAACACAATTCGTGTGATAGCACATTATCTCGCCAGTGTTTTGCTTTTTTCTTTGACCCTGTTTTGGGTTTAAAGGCAGTCTATACTGCCCTTAAACAGGTTTAAAGGCAGTCTATACTGCCTTTAAACCAATATAGACTGGTTATATATATATAATATGTATACAATATATATATATATTGTCATCACTGTTTTGCTTTTTCTTCACAATTTCAAACTTCTCTATTCATTTAAATGGAATGAAAGAATGGCGTAAAAAGTGCTTCTATTATTATGTTCTGTCAGTAGACAACATTGTAGACTGTGGTGAGATGACAGAACAGTTACAGTTACAGGCAGAACAGGGCATAATAGTAAAAGTCTGCACTAGAAAATTCAGAAATATACAGTGTCCGGTGTCCATCCAGTTTGTGTTGGTTATTGACACTGGTTTTATTCGTTATTAGTGTGAAATCTTTTTTGATCTTAAAAATGACCGACCTTACGTCAGAATTGTTTTCCTACAGTGCGATTAACTCGTACAAACCAATATATAGTGTACAACCCACCAAAGCTATCTCCTGCGTATGATTCCGCGTGATGACATATACAAGTTCTCATGCAAATTTTGTTTCAATGCCATATATTTGAATGAATATGGAATACAACTTTTTAAATAAATGCATGTTAGATAGTGACATAACCACGAAACGGTGTGGGGGGATGACGTCACAAACTGAGGAGCTCCTGTATTGTGAGTTGATGTTACCGGTCTCTTAAATATTCTCTTGACTTTTGCAGAACACCACCTCCGAAGAGACCAACTACAAAAAAGTTGATACCATGTCGGTTACCTTGGAAACCACAACACCCGGGGTACCGCTCTCCCTTCCCGCCCACTTCTCTCTGGCAGAGCAGTCTTTCTTCCTCAAAAAGCGTCACCCCCCTTTCTCCTTGTCCATGTCCAACTCCTCTGACTCTTCTCCTGTGCACCTTTCACATTCCCTGCCTCCACTGGCCCCATCTAAGGGCTTACCCTCTGTGAGCAGGATGTTCCTCAAGCCTCAGTCGCCGTGGACACCGCTGTCCGATTCCCTAAGGAAGCCCGTTCGTCCAAATTCAGTTTATGATCCCAAGAAATCGCAGTCCTATTTTAGTCAGTGCTTCACTAATTTAGGACTACTGGGATGTGGGTCCTTTGGAGAAGTCTACAAGGTGAGTTAAAATGCCCATGTAAAAATTGTTTATCATACTATGTGTTAGTACAGGCTAAGAACTAAGACAAATGACATGTAAAAGTCATGCATAAAGGCTAAAATTCTAAAAATGCTTTTATCATTTTCTACGCCCTCTATTGGGGAAATGTGGGTATTGCAGGCAAAAAGCAGAACTAAAATGATAATATAAATAAATTATATAATTTTGAAAAGTTTGGCGGGCTGGATTCAAAAGTTAAACGGGCCACATCCGGCCCCCGGGCCTTAGTTTGCCCGAGCCTGAGTTAGTAGGTCAGTGTTGTAATCCTTACAGATGGAATAAAACTACTTTGTATTGTTAGGGTTTAAAAACATTTGCCAAAATACACATTTGTCTGCTTTTAATGTTTTGTCTTTGACAAGATTAGTTCTTTACAGAAAATATATAAGACAGATGTTTTTTTGTTTTTGTTTTTAGGTGAAAAGCAATGAAAATGGCCGCTTGTATGCTGTGAAGCGATCTGCTTGTCGCTTCAGAGGCAACAACGAGAGGAACCGCTGTGTTCAGGAAGCCAGGAACCATGAGTGCCTGTGTCCTCACCCTCACATCCTGAACTTCTTTGCCGCCTGGGAGGAGTTTGGTCGCCTGTACATTCAGACAGAGCTGTGCAGCACCAGCTTACTGCAGTTTGCTGAGAACCTGCCTCTCGGCTCAAGTCTGTAACAAACGAGATAAATGCACTAATAACATCTAATTTTTTACGTTAAACAAATGAAAAGACAGTTGCATTTAAAGTGTTGGGGAGACTAGACCAAAAATATTTTATCATTACATCTGCCTTTCTTGCAGAAATGTCCTTGTTAAAAACATTTTTTCCATCACAGAACATTATAAGACGTACAAATGTTTTGACCTCTTATTCTTATTCTATTATATAAATGATTTATCAGTGCATTAGCAACATATTGGTACTGATAACATCCAGCCTTTCTTTCCCTCCAACAAATATAGTTGGTGACTCCTGGCATAAAACTTTTTAATATGTATGCTGTTTAAGGTCAAAGTGTTGTAATAAAATGTCCTGTTTGATTAGTTAAAATATGTATAGTTTTTAATTTTTAAAATTAAGATATCTGTGCAGCTGATGTTTCACTTTTTATGTTAGGGCATTTAAATGAATATGTAATTTATATATATATTTTTTTTTTTATATGATGATGATGATCTCAAAGAATTAACATATCCGTTAATATGTCTGCAGATGAAGCTGCGGCCTGGGACTATCTGTGCGACCTCCTCTCAGCTCTGCAACATTTGCACTCTCATGGTTTTGTCCATCTGGACCTGAAACCTGCAAATATCCTCATCACTGACTCCGGCCGTCTTAAACTGTGCGATTTTGGGCTGCTGCTCCAGCTCGGACGCAGCGATGCAGTGCCTGAAGGGGGGAAAGTAATGGAGGATGCACAGGAGGGCGATCCCAGATACATGGCCCCTGAGCTCCTCCGAGGAGAATACGGACCTGCTGCAGATATCTTCAGGTGTATAAGTATGACATGAAAATGATTCGTTTATCTTTTACATTATATCAAACTGGTCTCCACAATGTTTGTTTGTTTGTTTTTTTTTCTAGTTTGGGTGTTTCGATTCTGGAGATTGCATGTAACATTGAAATCCCAAATGGAGGAGAAGGCTGGCAGCAGCTCAGACAAGGCCGCTTACCCCCAGAGGTTACCGATGGTAACATTGCTTTCATACATACATATGTGTGTGTGCGTATATATATATATATATGTATATGTATATATATATATATGTATATGTGCATATGTATATGTATATATATATATGTATATGTATATGTATATATATATATGTATATATGTATATGTATGTATATGTATATATATGTATGTGTATATATGTATATGTATATATGTATATATATATGTATATATGTATATGTACAGTATATATATGTATATATATGTGTATATATATATGTATATATATATATTTTATTATTGTTTTATTTTTCTTCCGTCACTAATGTCTTCGACCTTTACCCTCCAAACGCACAGGCCTGTCAGCTGAGCTACAAAGAATACTGCACATGATGCTCGCTCCAAAGCCCTCTGATAGGCCGTCGGTCTCTGAGCTTCTTGCATTCCCTTCCATCAGGAGACACAGGTGGAAGAGACGCATTTATCTGCTGTTCACTGAAAGTTTACTGACACTGACCTCCATATGCCAGGTAACCCGAAAGGAGATGTTTTGTGCAACCCTAATGAATAAAAGGCAGGGTAAGAAATGCAGCTATAAATAAGCAAAAAATAAATATAAAATAACATGGGTCAGGCCCTTGGAAAAAAATTGAAATACTTTTAGAATATCAAATAGACCAGCACCCATTCTTAAAGAAACAACGTGTCCAAAGTCAGATTTGACTTGTAGGACCGTGCACTCTGTTAACCAGTGACCTCAACCCTCAATGCTATAATGATAATATATTATAATGATTTAGAGCTAGTCATATATCTCCTCAATGGCAACATTAATAGCTGCAGGAAATGACTTTTTGCCACAACCTCACTTCGACTAAAACATGGACATTAGCTTTAAACTGTATGTGAACAAAAGTCCGTTTTGCGTGTGTTTTGTGTAGCGTTGGGTTAATATTTGGTGACGTAATGATAATATTACAGGAGCTCTTCTAATTATGTTGGAGTCATCATTCATCATTACAACGACAGAACCTACTTTAACATAAACGTACTAATGAACAATGAATCGTTTTAGTATTGTGACCTTTTTGTATTGTTTTTTTACATTTCTGGTCTTTGTTTTTGTAGCTGGTGCTTTGCTTTGGATGCAAACTGCTGTCCTCGCTTCACTTGTCCTTTCTTCCTCAATGGAACAAACCGCTGCCCAGCACACCTTCCAGGGACAGCTGGGACAGGGATCTTACGTTGTCCCTCAGTGCCATCAACGCTGACTCGGGCAGCCCAGAGCGTGATGCAGTGTTTCTGATGGATCCAGCTAACCCAGAGCCTTCTCCCACCTACTCGGACAGGTAACTGACTACACATGGACCACCGATGTGAGACACAAAGGCTTAAATGTTGATCATTATAATCATATGATTCATGATTTTTTTTTTAACAAAATATACCCATTGCAAATTTAACACTAAAACATTCAGAAACATTTTTTAGTCTTTTTTTAAAATAATTCCTAGTTTACAGCTTTTCATATGTCATGTATCCACACCAATATTTTTATATTTACATTTTACCCAGGACATGACCTCACTAACAGATACGAACCATACACAATTGTCAAATATTTTCAATCTTTAATCAACTTTAATCAATTTTTTTTGCTTTATTTGTACAGGGTCCGATCCAGACTTTGGTCTGTAGAAAGTACATCCACTCCCCTCCAAGCATCTCAGGCCAACGGTCACCACAGCCCTGTCCACAGATCCCTCCACTCAGATTTCAGAGACCAAGCTCAGAACCGGTCCAGCATGGATTCAAGCCCAGTCTGTGAGACGCTCACACCGAATGCAAGTCCCTGTTGTGCAGACCTCGACTTTGTCCACAGGAGTGGGAAGTCAACGCCCAGCCGGCCCTCTTCCAACAAGTCCACTAGGTGGCCCCATTTCAACTTGGATGAAATAGACGGGGTTGTACCCCTAGGTAACTTTGAACCAAAGAATCTGCTCAGCCTCTTCGAGGACAGTGTTCATGAGGAGAAGCTGTGAGTGTAAGGGAGCTCTGCCACAGCCCCTGAAGTTCTGTTGATCTAAAAAAACAATATACTGCCAAGTTCAGAGAAGCTGTTTGTGGTTTACTGTTTAATACTCCAACAACAGCCTATTTAATATGTATTTGAAAAAAAAAAAAGGCATGTAAAGGGATAAATGTTGAAAAGGTAATTAACCTGAAAGCACTTTGATGTTTGTGTTGTTACAGTCTGTTGCTACAGTTGAATGTTGTGGTTTATTGTTAAAATTATAAGGTTTTGCTTCAAGTCCTGTACCTCAGCAATTGCATAACAAATAAAACCAAGGAGGAGAGCAGATTCTTGTCAAAATAAATGCATTTCTTACTTTTGTTTTATTTTTATTTTGACAGTGACGAATGACTCTAAATACACACATTTGGATAGAATACAATTAGAAATATCCCATAGACCACAAGTCAACTAGAATGATACAATAGAATAAATTGGACTGAACTAACCTAAAAAATATAATGCAAAAATGAAAAAAATACCATTTTGTGCACAAATATCCATGTAAAAATAAATTTACTTAAGGTCCAAGTTATCCACAAAACAATATTTAACTTGTGTACATGGTGTAATGGAAAAGGCCAATGTTGTGGTAAAGACAATTACATGTGTAACATGTGTTACAAGTGTAAAAGAGTATTTTTTAGCATAATTTATATAAGTGTTGCCGCTTTTTGAGAAGTTGCGTTGCTGCACAAATTAAAATATGATTTTATTTTAAAATCAGACCAAGTTTAAATAGTGTAAGCTGTTGTGAAACGTTAGGCCAGTAGGGGCAGTAATTTGCCTCTAAATGGTTTTGCAGAGTGCAAGATGCAGGAAACGGAAGTAAATCGAGTTCTGCTTCCGGTGCCAATGGTTTGTTATGAAGATAAAATAGGCTATAACGTGTTTTTTTTTTGTACTAGGACGTCTTTTAGCTTCAACTAGTGGCGATTTTTTTGTGACGTGTTTGAGTCGTATTAAAGAAGGTCATCTTGTCGGAATATCCGGAATATTTAATAAGAACAGTGAAACATTTTTTAGTGCTAACTATTAACTAAGTGACGCTGACTGGAGGGCTAGCTGTACTGTAAAGGTACTGTACACGTTAATATGTATAAATGGGTTAGGGTGAGGGTTTCAAACATTGAACATTGCAAACACTGAATTCGTGTTTAACGTTTACAATTTAATTCTGTTTAATGTTGATTGTTCCTCAAACGTTTATATCTATTATATAATGGTATATTTTTGCTCTATGTACGTAACTCGTTATAGTTTCCTTTACTTAGTTACTAAGAAATTGCCTTGACATTAATTGTAAAATTGACTTTGCCTTATATTATCAATAGGAAACCCTAAAGGAGGTTTTTAGATGCTCATTTCACAAAATGTGTTTGAGGTTAAAAGATAACGTGATGTAAGATTCATATAGAAAATACCAGATTTGAAGTGTAGACACAAGAACGTCATAATCCACAAACTTGGTTGTAAAATTGATTTATGACTTTGTATGTTTGTTTGTTTTTTTTCATCTTCACACCTTCCCATAACGAGTTCAGTAAAACGTTTGGTGTCATATTAGGATGTCTCAACTGGAACAATTAAATGCACATGTGGCCAAGCTCCTGACTGAGGCAGTGCAACAAGTGCTGGAGTTGGTGAAGGACACGGTGTCTGAATACCAGGAGAAAACTGCCAGAACACAGAGAGAGAATGAGAGCCTGAAGAAACGAATGCTGGAGCTGCAAGACAAGATCGCAAAAAAGAGCGCAAGTAAGTACAGGTGTAGTCACTGCAGTATTCATCATATTTTAGAGGAACACCTTACACACTCTGCTGCATGGACTTCACTAAACACACATAATGGCTTGGTGGGCTGCATTTGGCCCCCGGGCCTTGAGTTTGACACTGACAATGTGTTTTAGAGGGATACTTAACCCCGGGCCTTGAGTTTGACACTCACAATGTGTTTTAAAGTAAGTGTTTGTTTGTTTGTTTTTTTACAGCTGTTCTATCTAGCCAGGATTTCCTCAGGGAGAAAGCCGATGCAGAGTGGGACTTCCTCCTTGAGACTCGGACGCCCAGCCCAGTTGACACACTCACCGAGGAAGACCTAGTCACGAGCCGCGCCGCCAATCACAGAGTGAAGCAGGAAGAAGAAAAACAAGAAGACAGCCCCAGTTATGTTGAATCCCCTCTCAACTTTGACCTAGCGCATACATCATCGAAGTACGGCGCAGGACAACCTCAGGAGGACATGCACAATAGAGAGGAGTCACTCACTTTACCAACATACCAGGCAAACAGTTCTGCCTCCTCTGACGATTCGCTCAGCAGTCACTCCATCGGCGAGGAAAGCTTGGGCGCCGTGAAAACGGAAGAACAGTCGACCAACTGCGTATCACAGCTGCCGCCTCTTCAAGAACAAGACCCAGGGTGTGTGGATTTAAGCAGGAGCCCTTCTTATCATCACTCTAACCATAGACTTCTATCGCGAGCCGGGGGTGAACCTTACCCTCAGAGGAGGCGTGGATTTGCAAGATCCAACAGTATTGCCTTTCATTTGGCGAAAATCAGGAGGGACAACTTCACGGGAGGGGGCCCGCACGTGTGCTCGATATGCGGAAAGTCATTCACCAGAGTGGGTAACCTGAAAATCCATCAGCGCTGCCACACGGGGGAAAAACCGTACAGGTGTTCACAGTGCGACAGGTGTTTCTCGCAGGCGGGAGACCTGAAGAAACACAAGCGAGTGCATACGGGGGAAAAGCCGTACTTCTGCAGCCAGTGTGGAAAGAGCTTCAGCCGAGGGGAGAATCTGAAACGACACCAGAAGATTCACATTGGAGAGACAACGAAATTCGAGCTAGAGTGGGGGGAGCCGCCTTTGTGAGTGGGATACTGAGCTCAGAAGTAGACCAGTTAAAAAAAAGTCACCCTTCAATGGTCAAAAAGAGTGGTGCAAACAACTACGTTGCATTTCGATTTGCCATTTAGCACTTTGCAAGGGTATGGAAGCTAAACAGACGTCTACGTTAGCGTTATGGTGTGAAGTCATGTTAGCATGATGCAATGTAGCCTATCAGACATATTCTCAAAACTATTACATAATCGGGCTTAATCTGAAAATGATGCAAGTACTAAGCAAACAATGGTAATAGCAACGTTAAAAATAATAACAATGTTGCCATCAATATTGTACCTGTGTGATATGAAGAAATAGACTCAGAGTCTCATAGGTATTTTAGAAAAAAAAAAGTATATAACGTGGTCCAAATTTTTTTATTATAGTTATATTAGGTCAGTGAATGCATTCATCACCTAAGCAGGAAAATAATGGATTTTAAAAAGTTTTCTGGATTTTTAAATGTAGGAGAGAGCACTCTCGGGTTTCTACAGTGTAAAAACTCCCTCTTGTGGCGATAGATGACATTTTTATTTGGTATAAGAGAACATGAGAAAAAGAAAATCTCATATGTTTATACATTAAAATCAAGCATCAAACAAATAATTACTATTTATTATTAGTAATATATCTGAAAAGTGCTTTGTGTTTAAACAAAGACTTACTACATGCACTCCATTGTAACAGCTATGTCAGTCATTACTTGTGTGAACGTTGACTATAAAATGGCTTATTTTCTTGAAGTCCTCTTTGCTGTTTCCCCTCAATGACAGGGTGATGTTTTGTCTCAGATTTATATACTTCCATCTGCAAAGATTCAAAATTCAGTTTGCGAAAAATAAAAAAAAATGTTGTGGTGTGATATAACCACCAGGTGTGAAATATATAATTCCTTTTTTTTAATTTTATCTGTATCGTGAAAATATGAACTACACCAGTGTTTAAGTTGTAGGAGAAGAATGAAGATGAACATGTTGTACGTTTTTTTAAATGGTAAATATGTTAAATTTGCTTTTGCTTCTAAGAGTACTATTGCTGCTAATACTATCTCTTCACTTTTTAAACTACTATTATTCTCTTTCAACAAAAATTTGATTCGGCTTAAGCAACGACACACATACAATATGTTAGCATTTAAACGTGCAGGATACGCCTAGCTGCTGTAAAAGCAGCAGAATATGTTTTTAAAAAGCAGACTGTGACATAAAAATATAAATATGGGGGAATATAGTGTATGGTTAAAAAGAGAGGAGTGATGTCGTGGCCGAAAAAGTTTCTGCGTTGGCCGGGAATCGAACCCGGGTCAACTGCTTGGAAGGCAGCTATGCTAACCACTATACCACCAACGCGGTGATGGAATTTGCGCAACATGAGTAATATATTCATATATAATGGGTATTACTTTCATCGTTGAAATTGTAATATAGCAACATAATGCGCAGGTATTTCTTCTGTAAGTGACGTCTTCATTCACCTCTGTTTTACCTAGCATCCAGGAAGTGATTGAAATACTCCGGGGTTTTTTTCCACACTGTTGCGCGGGTAAGTTTTAAGTTTTTTTCACTTGCACACGGCACATACGGGTGGCTGTATTCAGTCAGAGAAAAGTGTTTATCACTTGGACTGAAACAAACCAGCGCTATGATTAAATAACAGGCTGGACACGCACGTCAATATGCTAACGTTAGCAGCCTGTCACGGAAATGTCGCTTCCTGTACATTTGCATTACAGAAATAATGGTAACTATGTTGAGGTGTGGACTGAGAGGCTTATGTTAGGGTTTGCTACGCCTTCCGCTGGCGACTGACTCACATTACCAGTTCTTCACCAAGTTAAATGAAACAAGGAAGTCCGAGATAATGGTCTTAACGTTATGTCGCCATGTTTTCCTCAGCGTGACATGTTGAAATGAAGCTTGATGAAAAATTGGTCACCTATTTTGAATCCTGCAACTCACCTGTGGACAAGCAGGGCTACCTGTACAAGAAGGTAACGTAAATATAAATAATATTATATAATATGTAAATAACGTGTTTTTTGTTTGTTTGTTGTTTTTACGGTTGACGGTATATGTTGGCTCAATAGTTGGCCTTAAAGTTTCTTTTAGTACAACGTAAATATAGATATGAAAAAAATACATGTTATTTTGGTAAAGTGACGCTCGTGTGGACATTTTTTGTAAAACAATATTATTGTTGTTGGGGGAATTTCAAATGGTAGTGAAATTGTGAAATAGTATTTTAGGGTTTATGTGGAATACGAATTTGGTGGCCGTTTATAAGTAGGATAAGAAGACATACATTAAACATTGATTTGTTATGGATATGGTTATGCTAATAGGCTAAGGAAAGTGTCAAAAATTCCACTGAATGCAAATTCATATATGGAAGTGTTTTTCTTAAGATTTTAAGTCCAAAGACATTATTTGTTGCATATAATTGTTTTGTCCGTTCACATATGCGTCAGTTTAAGACAATTTAATGTATTTTTTTTAAATGCTAGTTGAATTCCATCTGAGAACCAGTGCTGGTGTCAATCTGCATATCAGCAAATGCAAAGAGTGACCACATCATTAGAGTACATATTAAAGTAAAACAGACGCTTACAGAACAGTAGTTTTTTAAATTATTATTTAAATTTTCAGTGCTGTGACATTTTATTTGCCATTTGTCATTTATTGTAAGAAAAAACTAAAACTAAAAGTCTTTCTCTAGTGTTTCATCTCATTTAATAATCGTTCTTCTTTTTTTGTTGATAGGCAAATATAAAATATAGTGTTTAAATGTTTACCAACTCATTAATAACACATCTTAATTAATTAATTTATTAACCAATTTCAAGCCAAAGAGTAAAAATACAAACACACAAACATGCTCTTCGTAACAGAAAACTGCATTATTACCGCAAAAAAACCAAAACTATTGGTTCTCCCCCTCTTGACCAAGTTCCTAACTTTATTTCTAACCAAAAAGACACTGTGTTGTCAAAGCAAATGCTGTTTTACAGAACATTCTAGCATACACTCTCCTCAGACTTGTTTTTTTCTTAATCGTGTTGACAGTGATTTTAAAAAAAAGAAACATTTGATAGGAAACCTCCTGTCAAATCACAAATGATCAGTTTGAAACACACACTCTCTTGCAGGGTGAGATTAAGACGTCCTATCAGAAGCGCTGGTGTGTCCTGAAGGGTAACCTCCTGTTCTACAAGGAAAGTGCATCAGACAGAGACCTGACAGGAGTCATTGTTCTGGAGGGCTGCACTGTCCAGCTGTGTGAGTCTGAGGAGCAGTTTGCTTTCTCTCTGGTGTGGAGCGAGCCAGGCCTGCGTACGTACAAGTTTGCCGCTGACGACCAGGCGAGTCAGGAGAGTTGGATCAAAGCTCTGCTGTCGGCCAACCACGGGTATCTGTCCCTGCTGCTGATGGACCTGGAGAAGAAATACAGAGGTGAGAGACATGAACGCAGACACTGGTAGCGGAGGGAGTAAGAGAGAGCTGTTGTTCTGCTTTGCAGCTGTAACAGAGGTTACATCATTGTTTGCTGTTGAAACGCCACAGAAGTCATGGGGGCACAGTGGAGGAAGCGAATTATATTTACAGTATTAATCAGCAAATATCTTTTCTGACATCATAAAAAGAGAGAAAGTTAAATTCATTTATTGAGGCAGTGGTCCCCAACCTCTTTTGGCCTTTGACTCTGTTTTGACATCACAAATTTCCAGCGACCCCAAGGATTTTTTTTCTTCTTCTAGAATTAGTTTCTGATCATGTTTGATATATGCAGTTGCAAATAGAGAGTTTTATTCATACCTAATTTTTTTACCTAAACCAGTGAGTGATTTGTCATCCATCAGTTCACCGAGGGCTACATATGGCAGTGTAAAATCTACTTCAGAAGTAAGGTTAGACATATTGATGCTTTTCAGGTTTTGTTAATAGTCAGATTAGGACGACAGTACAGATGCTTGGTAACCTTTACATCTAGGACAAAACAACATAACGTCACCATGTCTGCAGAAAAGGGCTTTATTGTTCATCTTCCTTCCTACCACAATGTTCTATGTTCCCATCTCTGGACGTCTGGTCATCTACTGTCCACAGCGTCTGGTCAACTCTGTGTCTCTGCTGTCTCTGTCCTCCCTCAGATGCATTAGCTGCATTTCCTCGTGAAACGGCTAAGCCCTTCACAATGCCCAATTTCGGCGCCACGGGGACGGACTTCTCGGCAGCCTATCGTAGCAGACAGTTGTCAACACTGCCGTCAAACAAAGCGCCAGCAGCTGCAGGTGCAGCGGCAGCTTCGGCTCTGAGCAACAGTGCAACGTTACACGCTCTGTCCTATCCAACCAGGCCGACCGTGAAGAGTTCGCCCAAACAGTTGCCCCGGAGAAACATAAACGCCGTGCCTTTAAATATTCCCGACATGCCCATGGGAGAGTGGTCGTCTTTCTGCGTCAACGCTGAGGATGACTTCTCAAAGCTGCATGAAGACTTTGGGAAAGAAGTCAAGGAACTGATAGCTCGCTGGTCAAGACAAAAACGAGATGGCAGAGTTGTTCAGGAAGAGGATTTGATAGACTTTGGATAAATTCATGTCAACATAAAATGGTCTTGAATTTCAAGGAGTAGTAGAGTAGTGTCTAAAGTGTCGATATTATGGTATATACTGTATACCAGCGGTCCCTAACCTTCTTTCTGTCAAGGACTAATAGGCCACTAGCGGGCAGTACCGCACACCGGTAGCGCCTGACGACTCCGTCCTGTTTGCACATCTGTGAAGCCGATGGATATTGAAGAAAGCTCAATGAATTTTCAAAATAAAAAATAGTTTTCACTTTATCTCATTAGCATTGGAATCTGAAAGACATTTCGAAAAAAACAGCTAGATTATCTTTAAATGAAGAAATTAAATGAAAATGACTGGATTCTCTTTAAATTAGAAAAATTATTAATTATTTAATTCCGGTAACAAATGACCCATGGACTGGTACCGGGCCATGAACCAGGGGTTGGGGACCATTGCTGTATACTGTATATTTGAGGGTTATGGGTAAAAAAAAAAAAAAAAAAAATTAACAATCTCAGTGAACTATTGGTGGTTAGTTGCTCAATGGACCTGGAATGTAGAACATTTTCAAAACCTTTCAAAAAGGTAGAGAACAACTGCATTTGTTTACACTAGCTTTTTTTTTTTTTTTTCTAAATCTGTGAATTACATCATGAACGGTTTCAAAAACCTGTTAATGAATTCATTAATAAAATTCCTGGAATTCTTTTGCTTGAAAAGGTACATATCCAAAAGATATGAATTACATTTAATCAATAAAAATCATTGTCTTATGTCTGTGTTTGCGTGCAATATAACATTCATACGAACATTTAATAAATATTTTATATATATTTCATCTGGGAATCAGTGGCATCCCCAATGGGTAGCCACCGTCTTTCTGGGAAAATTTCTGGTCACCCCAGAGGCTGTGCCCCCCATTTTTGTCATTGACTTTATAACTGAGCTGCTTTTATCACTTTTCTTTAAAATAAGTCGACAGCAAACAAAGAGAGAGAGGAAAAGTTGATGTCTCACATGACCAGAGTCTGCAAGCAAATCTAACCAGCAAGAAATGTCTTCCTTTGTCATATCCTATCTAACCATATCTGTCTGTCGATTTAGAATGAATGACTTCAAATCTATTGCCGCCCAGTGTATTTGGAGCTTAATGTTATAAAGTGGCGAGGATGAAGTGACCATTTTGTCTAACTCAAAACTGAGTCAGGTGAGCAGATAGATGGAGTGTTGGTGTGAACCAAGATAAGGCAGAAGTATAATGATAATGTAAATTAATAACAATTTGGACAAGTTTAGCGGGCCAAATTAAAAAGCCAAACGGGCCGCATCGGGCCCCCGGGCCGTAGTTTGCCCATGCCTGGTATAGAACATTGGACGTGTTTTGTTGTGAGATTTCTTTAGCTGCTCATGTCAACGGTTATTATAGAGCTGTAGCTCAACGTTCTTAAGAATTTGTGCAATGCACCTTTAATTGCATATTTGCTATTTTCAGTAGCTCAGAAATCCAGTATAGGCGGGAAAAAATGTTCCACAGAAACATGCCAGTGGAATTTGTCAGTTGGCCTCAGAAATACAGGCATGTAGCATCAAGGTCTGGGAAGATTCGCTCCAGTCTCCACCTGGTCAGAATTTTGTTTTACAAATAATTATGCTTAGGCACACATGTCAAACTCAAGGCCCGGGGCCCAAATGCGGCCCGCCAAGCCGTTTTGTGTGGCCCGCGGGAGCCAAAAAGGCATTTAGTAAAGTCCATGCAGCAGAGTTTCTTAACCTATGAAATAAAAATAAAAAAAAGCGGGGCCCAAATGCGGCCCGCCAAGCCGTTTTGTGTGGCCCGCGGGAGCCAAAAAGGCATTTAGTAAAGTCCATGCAGCAGAGTTTCTTAACCTATGAAATAAAAAAAAGTAAAAATGATTCAGTATAGGCAGGAAAAAAACATGTATTAGTCTGCAAATTAGTAAAAATTAAGTATATATTTTCACTGCGGCCAAGTACCAAATGACCTATGGACTGGTACTGGTCCGCATACCGGGGCTTGGGAACCCCTGATCTATACATTCTTCCATTTACAACCAGTCCGTTCAAGGGGAACTGTGGACCCCGGTGAAAATTAGTTTGACACCCCTGTAACGATAATGTAAATTAATAACAATCTGGACAAGTTTAGCGGGCCAAATTAAAAAGCCAAACGGGCCGCATCGGGCCCCCCGGGCCATAGTTTGCCCATACGGTTATTATAGAGTCGTAGCTTAAGGTTCTTTAGAAATTGTGCAATGCACCTTTAATTGCATATTTGCTGTTTTTAGTAGCTCAGAAATTCAGTATAGGCGGGAAAAAGACATGTATTAGTCTGCAAATTAGTAAAAATTAGGTATATATTTTCACTGCGGCCCAGTACCAAATGACCTATGGACTGGTACTGGTCCGCATACCGGGGCTTGGGACCCCGGTGAAAATGACTTTGACACCCCGGTGCTAAGGTTTAGCACATCTAGCACCTTTAATTGCATATTTGCTGTTTTTAGTAGCTCAGAAATTCAGTATAGGCGGGAAAAAAAACATGTATTAGTCTGCAAATTAGTAAAAATTAGGTATATATTTTCACTGCGGCCCAGTACCAAATGACCTATGGACTGGTACTGGTCCGCATACCGGGGCTTGGGAACCCCTGATCTATTCATTCTTCCATTTACAACCAGTCCGTTCAAGGGGAACTGTGGACCCCGGTGAAAATGACTTTGACACCCCGGTGCTAAGGTTTAGCACATCTACCCAATAGTCCTGTGATTCAGGTTTTTTTTTTAAGTTCAAAAGTGGATAGCCTGTGTTGGGTAAAAAAAAATAAAGGACAGCAGTTAAACGGGGGGAGCCGGCCAAGAAGGGCCAAGTCTTGAAATTTCAAAATGGCTGAGAAAGAGAACAGCAGGGCAGAGGGTGAGGGAGCTATTTCAGTCTACAGCTGTCTGGTTTTTATGGTCATGGACAGACCTTTTGGGTTTTCTCCCTCTCTCTCTCTTTCTCTCTTTTCACCTTCAACCACGTTTATGAAATCACTTCTCTTCCACATGGAAATACCGTTTTTCAAATGTATTTATTTGGACGTACCGCTCACCCGTTGCGCATCCGATCAAGCGGATCTAGAAATGTTTACGTAGTGTGAAACAAAAAGAAAGGTTGGGTTTTAGCATCCGAAACCCAACAGTTGCAGACGACTGAAAAACCCAGTTTTAGTAGATCCCAGCGCAGGACTTAGCTGCACAACGATGTGATTGATGGCAGCCTGTGAAGTCAGTAAAAAAGCTGCTCATTTAGTGCAGTCATCTTTTTTAGGATTGTGAGAGAGAATAGGGTTTCGGTTTTTCCATAATGGATTAATATGTAATCAAACAACATGTTTATCCTTGAGGGATGATGATGTGATTATATTATTATATTATATAATAAAACATATTTCGATGACTTTATTGTTCATATAAGAAAAGGGACGTCTGTGTCCATTTACATATAAAGTACTTTTAAACTTAAAGCTGCTATAATATAATATAAAAGACATTATAGCATGGGTTTTAAACATGTATTTTTGTATACATTTTTGTATTTTTAATGCAATATATGATTTTGAAAAATAGTGGAAAATAAGGTAGATAATGTCCCAGGAGATTATATCAATTAATTATGTCAAATAAAACTATGTCAAATTATTCACTTTAAATTAAATCATATATTGGGAACAAAGTACTCTTTACTTTTCTTGATAAAAAAAAACCTTAGTACTGAAATGAAGTTTTCTAGAAGTATTACCAGTAACATGTAACTTCTTTATGTAACAGTATAAATATAGCACATAAATATATATAATAATATATATATAAACCTAAATATATATGTATATATATTATATATATTATATAGTATATATATATAGTATATATATTATATATATTACAATACATTTAGCAGACACTTTTTATCCAAAGCGACTTTTTTTGAGTCAGTCAATCAACAACCAAGCCACAGTAAACATACAAAATACAAAAATACATAAATAATAATTAAATAATAATAAATAATATATATACAGTGTAGACATACATACATATATTAGTATATGTTCATATATATGGTGTTTTAACAATAATTACATATATTAGTATATGTTCATATATATGATGTTTTAACAATAATTAATATATACATACATATAGGCATATATATTAATACATATATTGCATGTAAAACATATTTCTAGAAATGTTGTCTTCACGTTACCTTTTTTCACTACAAAAACATCAATATTTCAGGGAGCCTTAACACATCGTTCTCCACGTATGCGCGTTGTTTACATTGGTCACTAATGCATGCTCACTGTTTGCAGTGTTCCGGTAGTATTTAGTAGTACTCAAGTGTCATTACTGGACCCGGACCAAAGTCTAACGGCCAAGTGTTTTCACGTTTCATGACTGTTCATAATCTGCTGCCAATCCGACGCTCAGCGCCAACCCATCATTGACATGGGTAATGACTTTAGGACGCGCTCGCTGTGTACATGTCATGCCAACAGCTCAACACGGTCAATGAATATAAAATCTTGGTCAGACAGAAATATATATATATATATCAAGTTACTGTACACACGGCCATTACACACACTCAGGATTTGGTTCTCTCATCAATGGGGTCACAATAAAGAAGAAGAAGAAAAAAAAAAAAAAGGGGCCAGAGAGACAGTCCCTCAGCGTGTCCTGTCTATCACTTTGGCCATATTAGTCCAGAGAAGACACCAAAGTCCGAGCTGTGTTGGCATTGAATTCACCTCATTCCAAGAGTCCGGGGGCCTATTTTGGAACACCGGTAAGTTGATCCTCACTGTCAACTCCTCGCTCCTCCTGCTTCCTCTTACTTTCCCTCTGCTCTGTTTTCCTGCCAAACCTGACGGCGTGGCTAAAGTTAGCCCACTATGGGCTAGTATATAAGGCCCCATGGGTGCAACGCTTACATGTCAGTCACATCGGCTTGGCGTAGGCTTCTCTTCTTGACCAACAACACCAACCCACAAACTTGAGAGATGGTGAGTGCGGTCACATCCCCTGGGGGATCCAGCGGTTGAGCCGTTTGGATTCGCAACATCACAGAGAGGGTGAAATGGAGACGCTCAGCCTCCCTAACTGTGGATGTAGAGCGGGCTTTTCTTTCCTTGAAGTTTGGTTCACATCTCAATCTTTATTACGAGACGTTGAAACCTAATCTCAGTAGGCATTATTTCCGTAATCATGCTAGTTCCCGAAGATTATATAGCACCTAAAATCCTTCATTTCAGTGATGTTCAAATGTATGTACATCAAAAATGTAGTCCTGAAAGGAGTTTTTTTTTCTCTGTTTGGACTTTTTTTTTTTTCATTTCTTTCACTTTTCATCCTCTAATTCTAGGCACCCAAGAAGGCCAAGAGGAGGCAGCAGCAGGGTGAGGGTGGATCCTCCAATGTGTTCTCCATGTTTGAGCAGAGCCAGATCCAGGAGTACAAGGAGGTAATGAATTCTCCAACGCATCTGAAACGCTTCGTAGAATCGGGGTGATGAGAATGTTTTTTTGGGGATGGCCTCTGGTCATGGATCCCTCTGTAGGTACGATAACAAATAACACGTATTCCGTGAGAAGCCTTCGAATCTTACATGTCAGCTATGGTAGTAAAATGTAAGAAACTAAGGATTTTACCGATGACCGCAGTCACCTCTGACAATTTGGTAGCTCACAGGACAGAAAGACTCCATCCATGACCTGGCTGGAATGTTGCCCAACAGCTGGTAGACAGTATTATTAACCATCACAAGACGAGGAGCGTGGGAGGTGTTAGAACAGGAGTGACTTGGCTTGGAGGCTACTTTTAAAATGACCAGGCCGCAATCAGCAACCTGGCATTGAAAAAGTTGGTACCGGCACTTTTGGGTAACATCCCTGTGCAAACAAAATTGTAGACCGATCCGAAGTGTGATTTTCCGATTCATTGACGAACATTTTTTGTCCTGCTTTTTGACTAGCGGGGCCACATTTTTTCTTAAAATTGAACACGGGGGGCCGGGTCAGGAGCAGATAGATGGAGTGTTTGTGCGAACTAGGATAAATGACATGTTAAAGTCGTGCATAAAGGCTAAAATGTTAACTGTACTTTTTATCATTTTCTGCGCCATCTATTGGGGAAACGCGGGTATTGCAGGGAAAAGGCAGAGGTATAATGATAATATAAATAAATTATATAATTTGGAAAAATTTGGTGGGACCGGATTAAAAAGCTCAACGGGCCGCATCCGGACCCCGGGCCTTTGTTTGCCCATAATCACTGCCTATGTCAGGCAGTGATTGCACAAGGACTTAGGAAGGTGAGGGAACGTTTGGGACGCGGTCACAAGATTTAGGCGTGATGCAAACAGAGGGGGTTGTGGGTGGTGGGCGGGCGACAGCTGTAATCAATAGCTTCTCCTTAAATGTCACAGAGGGCTTGTCTCAAATTCCGAGACCATTTTAACACCTTGGGAAAACAAGTGGTCGACCAGCTGCCCAGACCCCAAACTGTTCCCAGTGCCATCTTTGGTTTCACTGAATGTCACATGTCTTGCGAGTGGACAACAGCTCCGCATTTTCACGATTATGTTGGCACACCTCCCGCCCAAACATTTATTGTGGAACACTCGAGATGGAGATGTATTCGTCCCAGCTATGCTCTTTGATCTGACACATTTGGTCAGCCTGTGTCTCTACGTCTAAGTATGTGACCTCATCGTTCCTTGGCAGGCTTTCACAATCATTGACCAGAACAGAGATGGCATCATCAGCAAGGACGATCTCAGGGACGTGCTGGCCACCATGGGTCAACTGAATGTGAAGAATGAGGAGCTGGAGGCCATGGTGAAGGAGGCCAGCGGCCCCATCAACTTCACTGTTTTCCTGACCATGTTCGGCGAGAAGCTGAAGGGTGCGTCCACACTCAGACCTTTAATGTCAAGGCCGGTGTTATATGCATTATATATAAAAGCTTTTGTATTAAAAAAAAAAATTACACGTTTTCCAGGTGCTGATCCAGAGGATGTCATTGTTAGCGCTTTCAAGGTCCTGGACCCCGAGGCTACTGGGTTCATCAAGAAGGAATTGTAAGAAATTTTTTTTTTCAAGTATAAAAGTATTATATTAAATGAATAGGATTTATTCAAAACCATTCAACTGGTTTAAAAACCTACGATACATGGACAACATATCAGTTAATTACCGTAATTTCCGGACTATTATCGCACCTGAAGCTAACGTTAGCTGCGGGGCTAACTCCCTTCACTTTGTGCTTGTCCGCAGCAGAGGTAAAAACAGAAACAGGGAAGTCGGGGTCTTTATCATCAGCCACACACTTTAGCTACCGTTTATTAACGCACATATACGCACACAGCCATTCACAGACAGACATACGCTACTAGTATAACACACAGTAGCCTACCAGAAAAGTCATTGATCGCTAGCGGTATGACCTTCGTTAGCCCGTAAAAATCCATAACCTAGCCGCATCATTGTTTAAGCCGCAGGGTTCAAAGAGTGTGAAAGAAGTAACGGCTTATAGTCGGGAATTTACGGTAACTCAAGATATGCAGTTTAAAATCTCTCACGAATGTATTTGAAAAATATTTTCATCCTGAAACATTGACGGAAATTTTTTTTTTTTAAAAATGAACAAAGTATTCATTTTCAATCTTTACTAATCATTTCTCTTCACATTTTGCCCTTTGCTCAGCCTTGAGGAGCTCCTGACCACCCAGTGCGACAGGTTCACCGCTGAGGAGGTGATTTGTTTTTTTTTTCTTGTCATAGCCACCTTTAGATGCTCATATAATCTTAAGTTCATGCTCATTTGCTGTTTTGGCTCATCCTTCTCTCTCCGCCCCGCAGATGACAAACCTGTGGGCTGCTTTCCCCCCTGATGTGGCTGGCAACGTGGACTACAAGAACATCTGCTACGTCATCACACACGGAGAGGAGAAGGAGGAGTAAAGAAATCGTCCGCCTCTCTCAAGACCGCTACCTCCATTCACATCCATTCTCAGAACCACAATCTTTACACACAATCCCAATCTTCTCCACCATGACCGCTCCCTTGCACATATCCACGCCCCGGGCTCATTCTTTCCAATTCGCCAGCTACCTGCTAAAAAGACTTGTCGCCTTAATGGAGACACTGGGTGAGAGGACTGAAGGCTTTCGGGGGTGTTTGCGTGTGAGTACGTACCAGCAGGGGAACATGGGGTCACTTGTGACACTGAAAACGCTCTCCCTATCTCTGTCCCTCCGCCTCTTGTTTTCTCCTAACTTTCTTAGCACTCACTCTGTCTTCTTGGGCTGAGGCCAACAGTGCCAGGCATCATGCTTACATGCAGTGTGCGTGCATGTGCAAGCCAATGCGTGCACGTGCACACGTCAGTCATCAAACAAGTCTTGGGTGCCATGGTGCCTGCACAAGTCACTTGCTTGAAACAAGCAAGAATCCTGGCCCCCTAGTGGTCTGTTGGTCTCCACCCGACACAGAGTGTTTGCTGGGTTTGTACTTCGCCTTGTATCGGAGAAGTGTACGGCAGTACCGCGCTAAAATAGTGTTCGTACTCCGTTCTCTTCTCTCGTACATGTCGGGTATAAACGGGGGAAAGTTTCAGAGAAAAGAGAAAGACAAACAGGAACTCTTGTGAAGGGGATGGAGATGGTGAAAGATGGTGAGTTGGAGGCCAGAAAAGGAATGAACAAAAGTTTGTTTGGACTTTTCTTAACCTCTCACTCATCAATGTTTTTTTTTTCCTTCTGTGTCCGTGTCTCTGCTGTAAAAAAAAAAATAAAGCAAGAATAAAATCCTTATCTTTCGTACGACCGTGTGTCTGTTGGTTAACACGTTTTTGCCTCGGGAGCTACTTTTGCAATGATCAATCAACATTGATCATATATATTTACTGAATATACTTCATATAAATGCACGTTCGTGTATGGCACAAAGTCATTCAATAGTTGTAAGGTTTTGAATTTATTCCTGGAGGGTTGATCTAAAAAAAAAAAAGACATCTTGAATTTTTAATTTTTTAATTTAATTGTTTATGATCTAATAATACTGCCTTTGCGTTGTACTGGTAGATTGTGCTCTTTTTATAGACATCTTGAATTTTTAATTTTTTAATTGAATTGTTTATGATCTACTAATACTTCCTTTGCATTCTACTGGTAAATTGTGCTCTTTTTATAAAACCAAAATCTGAACAGTGATGTTCTATAGTAATATTGTTGTGGCATAATAGGCTGCAAATAATAATAATAATAATAATAATAATAATAATAATAATAAATCAAACAAACAAAAAAATTAAAAAACCAACAAAAAAGAAACAATAAAAAAATGAGCAAATTAGTTCAGGTATTAAATAATAATAATAATAAATCAAACAAACAAACAAATAAAAAACCAACAAAAAAAGAAACAATAAAAATATTGTATTAAATAATAATAATAATGTATGTAATGTATAATAAATAACATTATCGGAGTCTCAGGTCAAATTTAAAATCTGTAGGTTAATGTTACACTACTATAGTACTTTTTTAACTTCTACATAATTTCATTCGAATTTTTATTTTATTTTATTCGAGCATACCAGCCAGTTGTTACTTTTTCCGCTTTGACAATTTCCTCGTTTCCCCCTATGCCTTGCAGTGCTGTGTTGAGCTTGGACTCTGTCTCTGCCTGTTGATTTGTTGAGCCGTTACTACCGCCATAATATTCCAATATGTAATTTTGTATAAATACAGTATCTTCAGATAGGATTAAATAAAGAAACTAATACCAAAAACCTCCTGGTTGCACACAATAGAGAAGGTTGTATGTGTGGTTATCACCGTTATCATGTAGCACAAAGATCACTGTTTTGATCTTTGAAACTTGACCTGTCCTATTTTATTATGTAATTTGTACCCCACCGGATGACAGCTGGGATTCGCTGTCTTCCCCACAAACCGTTTTCAGAATTAAGTGGCACAGAATGAATGAATAGACGGACAGTATAAAATTACAGAAGCATAGTTTAATTTCAGGTGTTTTTGTTTTTTTTCCTTCTTTGTGTCACGTGTTTCTGTGACGTTTTCAGCCGAAAGAGGATGTAAAGCTAAACTAACAAAGCACGCCGCCTTCAAAATAAAACTACAAGACGCTAGCGGCACGCAAGGCTTTATAGGTTAGAGTAGGACGCTCCGCTTTTATTTTGTAAACTAAAACCGGTAGTGGATATGACTGCGAAATTGGGGCAGCGAAAAGGGTCGCTGCAACAGTGAGTGGGCAGTGAATGAAAACTGTAAAACATTACAGGCCCTGTCTGTTGCCACAAACATGGCTCCATGCTGATGACCGAGCCCGGCTGTAGTAGCTGTCGTCCCGCCGTGCCTGTGTGAGTCGTGACGGGCTGAGTGCCAGCATCATGGCTTCCCCACGTCGCACATCTGTCAAAGCGTCGGTTCTAACCACCGCTGTCCTGCTCCTGCTGTCACTCACCGCCGTCAGGTCCTCTCAAGGCGACAAGGAGCCGGTCTACCGGGACTGTGTGAAACAATGTGTCCGGACCAACTGCACAGGAGCTCGGCTCCGCGTCTTCCAGTCTTCTCAGCCGCAGTACATGGTGCTGACAGGTTAGTGGTCGTTACTGGTGGGTGAGGGAGGGTGACTCTGGTATTGGCTTAGCACTTTGTATGTTGTGAGCACATGAGGCATGTTTATGGGTTCTTTTAATGCCCAATTATCCGTGTTAAGACCTTTATTTTCGTACTTTTTTGAGATTTCATCAAACGTTGTCTGTGCAGTCATTTCCAAAACTGGTCCAGGACCCACAGGTGGGTCAGTAGATTTTTTTTTATAAACCAATAATGTACTATCTAGTGCACTCAAACTGTTTTAGCCCATACTGCAGTGGGCCACATTTAACTCTTTAGACCTAGAAACTAGTTATATTATTGTTTAAAAACAATACATTTCAATTCATAGTAAAAAAACCAAAAAGCATTATGTTGAAACTTATGGACAATATTACACATGACTGAATCAATTCTGCCTTTTATGCCACCACACTGTTTGGTCCTATACTACATTTGTACTACACAATATCTACCACGTCATTGCTTATCCCTATTTAAGTTACAAAAATGTTCATGAGAACATGTTCTGCTTCTAGAAAAAAAAAGGTCTTCTTAAAAAAAACTTTTAGAAAAAAAATTTAACTTAATACAGCAATGGTTTTTAGCACCGTACGCTGACTGACAGAAGATCAAACTACTGGTGCACTTTGCGTTATTGCTTCATCCACTCGTGTGCTATTGTTTGAGCTGTAACAGTTGAAAGCCCAGAGCCAGTTTTTCAGGCTGTGTGAGCCGTCACACAAAAACCTATTGTCATTCCTCCCTTAGATCAGCGATCTGGTACAATGGGCATGGTTGCGTCTATTGCACTCACTACCATCTGACCTCATCGCGTTTGATGGGAGAAACCAATTGATGAAACTCAAAGCTGATAGGCTGCTGCAAAATTGAGTCACAGTTATTTTATTGTTTCTGTTATTGATTTCAAAGTGTGTGTTTTTTTAAAAAAAAAAACAAAAAAACAGTCATCCCTTTAATGCAGACATGACATCAATGTCCGTTGTATTGGGTGTTCCTGTTTGCAGGTTGGACGTGCCGTGATGACTGTCGCTATCAGTGCATGTGGTCCACTGTGGTCCTTTACCAGGCTGAGGGTTACGGAATCCCACAGTTCCACGGCAAGGTTGGTTTGGTTTTCTACTGTACATATCCAAAAAATGTAAAAAAAAAAAAAAAAACAAGGGAGAAACAATACTTTTTTTTTTTCACCAAAAAAGACCCTGGGACCTGCTATAGCTACATAAGGGTCTCTTTATGATAAACCATTTGTCAATACTGCATTTCAACCCTTCCTCTTGGAGAACTGATCCGGGGCTAAATGATCATCGGATAAAAGTTTACTGCCGTTATAAATGCGTAGAGTTACTTTTTCCCACAATTAATGTACAAGTTATTAATAACTGTAATGTAACGTGTCTATATGATTTTTTTTCACTTGCAAACATTAGACATGTCAATACTAATTAATTATAATAATAATATATAATTTGAACTTTATTGATCCCATATTTGGGGAATTCTTGTGTTGTCAGCAGATTTGCTGCAACGGGTTGCCAAGCATGTGGTTTCTCTGGGAATCGAACCCAGGACTACCTGCTCTCTTCTTCTGACGCAGACGTGCTAACCCGCTACAATATGGAACCAATAGTTTAGCCTAATTATGTTGACGGATACCTCCTCCCGATTACATGCAAGGGGATCTGATGAGTAACAGGGCAGCGACGGATTATTCACGATTAATTGTGATTAATCATAATTGATTACAGAGTAATAGATAAAATCAACTTCATTGGAAAAAAAAAACATGATTCAACATGGCAGTAAAAAACATCAGTGAATGTCATTTAGGTCAGACACAGATCTTACCGGTTATATATCATATATGTATATGATACATAATGGGTTAATGATATGGGTCATATTTCTCTATGTTCTCTTTTAGTGGCCGTTCGCACGGTTTCTGTGCTTCGAGGAACCTGCTTCTGCACTGGCCTCTGTGCTCAATGGTCTGGCTTGCCTCCTCATGCTGCTGCGCTACCGTAGCACGGTGCCAAGACAGAGCCCCATGTTCCACACAATCAATGCCTTCTCTCTGGTGAGTCCAACCCTAGTCCTGTACTGTACGAAGAAATACTGTAAGAAATGCTGCGCAGGGAGTTAACCTTTGCTGCAAAACGTGTGTTTACCTCCAGGTGTCGCTGAATGCCTGGTTCTGGTCTGCGGTGTTTCACACTCGGGACACCTATCTCACTGAGGTAATGGATGTTGGGCAGCTTCGATTGGGAGAAAAAAAAACATTTCTGGTCAGACACCTAAGGGGCCGGACACTCAAATAAAATGAAATCAAAATCTTCTCTAACATTATTATTTAATGTTTATTTTAAAATCCAGTCATGGGCTATTTTGTTGGGCTGGATTTGGCCCGCAGGCCTCCAGTTGATCATCACTGTTCTTAACGGTCTGGTGCTCACAGTAACGTAGATGTGACACTTTTGACTGACATCACTCATGTAACTCCACTTAATCTGCGGTTTCCCAATTTACGACTGTTCATCACGCATCAGTGTAAATATATTGCACATGCATGTCCTCAGCTACTCCCATGGAGGACTGGTAATAGTGATTCTTTTTTTTCTTTTTTTTTTCTTCAGAAAATGGACTACTTTTGTGCCACGGCAGTCATTCTGTACTCCATCTACCTGTGCTGTGTCAGGTGAGGTTCGATCTCTGCTGGTTTTTAGGATGTTACAGAACCTATGTTTAAAAGCAGGGATGTTCGCTATTACCTTTTTGCCGATATCCGAGATGCGGATACTTGTCCAACTTCCTATTCCAATATTAACCGAAGCCGTTATATACGGCTGTTTGGGTTAGAGCAGTGGTTCAGTTATTTTCTGTCATCCCCCCCAAACCCCCTCCGACCCCTCCTGAAATACTACTGAGAACCTGATAACATGTATATTTTCATCTGTTCAAACCACTGTATGAGTTGCTGCCACCTAGTGACTGGAGGCTTGTTATCATTCAAGCATCACAGCAGTGGTAGACACTTATGTCCAGCATGCCATATTCCATTGGAAGGCCCTCACGCACCCCCTGGCACCTCACCCCATCCCCCCTAGGGGGCGCCACCCCTACTATTTGAGAAGTACTCAGTTAAAGGAAGAGGACATACTTCACTGTGTGCAGTTCTGTTCTTTCACTTCAAAACCATTTTAGGTCACATCATTTGGCGAAACCCAGATTTGCGTTATCAGGTTTTCATTATGAGAGGAAAAAAAAACGCTAACGATTTTTCTTCTTACCGATATGACATAATATTATCAGGTTTTCATTATCATAGGAAAAAATGCTAACGATTTTTTCTCTTACCGATATTACATAATAACGCTAATATCGGCCGACATTATCGGACATCCCTATGTAAAAGAGATCAAAATGACTTATGATTAACCGGTATTTTTTTTAAACATGAAACAGTCTAAAAGCCTTCCTTACAGATGAGGCTAGTTAGCTTAAAATGTTGTCGTGTTGTCACGGATACATACTGAAAAGAATTGATCTCGTTGTCAGAACCCTGGGTCTGAGGAGACCTTCTGTGTCCAGCATGGTGGGAATCCTACTCATCTTGGCCTTCACCTCTCACGTCTCCTACTTGACCTTTGTCAGCTTTGACTACGGCTACAACATGGCTGCTAATGCCTCATTTGGTAAAGCATTTTTATTAGCACCGCATCACAGGAACCAGAAGTTGTTTGGGTTGATATGTTCACATGACAAGTGGATAAATGTACCGTGTATTTTACATTTATAAAAACATAAGACATTAAAAGCCTTTTTTTTTTTTTTTTTTTGGTAAACATTGCTCAACTGACTGGTGTGCTCTGCTGAACTTTTTCAGGCATGGTGAACCTGATGTGGTGGTTATGTTGGTGCTGGCAGAATCGGCGGACGCTACCGTACTGGTGGAAGTGCGGGCTGGTGGTGCTGCTGCTCCACGGCCTGGCGCTGCTGGAGCTGTTGGACTTTCCCCCGCTCTACTGGGTCTTCGACGCTCATGCTGTGTGGCACCTCAGCACCGTGCCAGTGCATTTCCTTTTTTACAGGTAACATTTCCCCGTGTTTGTACTGTGTGCTGTTTGTACGCAAAAGCCGAGGCTAATGTGTTGTTAGCTTAGAAGTACGGTGCACCCAGAAAGCTTGCCATTAATGGCTCTGTTGAATGGGTTAGGGTTAGGTTTAGGGTAAGCCTGAGATACCTCAGAAGGTTTCTCTGAGAAGTACCCTGAAAGCGCGGGTCCCCTACCCTCGGTTTGTTTACCGGTACTGGTACATGAAACGAGGGTAGGGGACCACAGAGAACGAATTAACAATTTACTTTATTTTAAAGAAAATCCAGTCATTTGCATTTACTTTCTTCAGTTCGGCAATTTTTCTTTTAACTAATATGTGGAAAATTTGCCAGTTCTTAACAATCCATGGTACTGGCTAGTACTGGGGGACCAGTCGTTTACTAAAAAATCTTTAGAAAAATGGTTAGCGACCGCTGTCCGCAATAAAGACAACACAATTGACCAGCAGTTTAAAATCCCAAACGTGGCTACTAAGCTATTGTTAGCTTCCTAAATCAAGCTACAGTGTTAGGAGAGAATTTCTTCTTCGTGTGCCAAGCTAATTTAGTACTCTGCTGTACACCTAGACCAGGCGTGGGCAAAGTTTTTGACTCACGGGCCGCAATTGGTCCTAAAATTGAACAGGGGGGCCGGGTCAGGAGCAGATAGATGGAGCGTTCGTATGAACTAAGATAAATGACAATGTAAAAGTCATGCATAAAGGCTAAAATGCTAAAATGCTTTTGGCCTTCACTACGCCATCTATAGGTAAAATGGAGACATTGCAGGGAAAAGGTGGACGTATAATCACACAACAAACAAGTTTGGCGGCACCGGATTACAAAGATGAACGGGCTGCATCCGGCCCCCGGGCCTTAGTTTGCCCATGCCTGACCTAGATAACAATATAGAAAAACTAATCTGAGATCGTCTCCTCTTTCCTTTCCCAGTTTCCTGATCGACGACAGCCTCTACTTGTTGAACACAGAGAAGATGGGCGTCAAAGTGGAGTAGCCGGAGCTCTCTGCCCCGTCACCGTACCTGCACCCCTGCACCCCATCCTTTGAGCCAGCTGAACAGCCGGCAGAAGTAGCTCCACAGCCTCTGAGATGACATCATCAAAAATTCATCTTTATGAATTTTATGTTTACGCCCTTGTCCTTTTAAATATATATATTTTTTTTCTATTTATTAGCTTTTTTGGAAAAATGACGGTCCTCACCGTGTGCTACTCTCCTGGTGCCGTTTGTACCCTCATACTCATGTGCCTCCCGAAACTGCTAGACGCTTTGACTGCGACACGACGAGCATTTTGCTGTAGCTGACAATAGGTGGCACCAAAGTGTCATGAACTTTCTGCAGAGTCTGTGAGCGCGGACTGGGCCTCATAGTAGGGAGGGGGGGGGGGGGGGGGGGGGGGGGTGAGTTGGGGCAGGTTTCTCTCGAGAGTTGGTTTCTGTTTGGAGGTGACTCGAACTAATTCTCTGTTGTTGTTTTTTCTCTCTCCCAACATCATCACACTTTTTGCTTTTGTGCCTTTTGGGTTGTTTTTTTTTTCTCCTATAGTTAACGATTGCTTTGGATTTTATTGATTTTCTTTGTGTCAACCAAACTTTATTGTGCTTTATTTTGTTTTTTTTTTGGACACTTTTAATTCAAATATTTTTAATTTGGGAGTGGGTTTATATGACGATCACACTAACATTTAACACACCTGGATTGCCTTGCTGAGGGAGGTGGAGTTTCTGTTCAATTCTCAGGTTACGGAAGCCATGTGCTTGTAGAAGAAGGCGTTTGTTTGACGCGCGTCATTTTGGTTTCCTGCCCTCACACATCGGGACAATCACGCTGATTGACACAGAAATTCCCACCTGCTTTTTTTAAAAAAAAAAAGGAAAAAAAAGAGATTACTTGCTCATTCATGAAAACACTCGCTTTCTCAACGACACGTCTGCCTTACATCATGTTTTAGCCTTTTTTTTTTTTTTTTTTTAAAAGTTGAGCGTTCATCCACTCTGTCCTCACCTCTCAGCGTTCTCCCTCCATATGACGAGCACTTTATGATCACACGTGTACATTCACATTCAGGTGTCTTTGTTTCAAATCCTGCCTCTGCCTTTGTTTTACGGCGTGACGACGGGAACAAAGACCAGCGCGCGAGTGTGTGTGTGTGATTGCTGGCATTTGTGTTTTCACGTTGCCTTGATGTCCTGGGGCCTTGTGTGTTTTTTTGTTTTTTTGTTGTTTTTTTTTGCAATCATGAACAGAGATTTCTGTGCATGCGTGTGTGAGATTGTTCCCAATCCTTTTGTAACAGTACAAGTGAGTGTGTTTGAGTGTGTGTGTGTTCCAGAATGTGCCGCGTGAATGTGTGCCAGACCGTTGGTATATTTAGCTTTGCTGACAGCCCATGATGGTGGGGGAGAGCAGCGGAGGTTATCACTGACCCGGAGGACAGAAACATTAATAAACTCTCGGCAATGAAAATGCTTTAAAATCAGTTAAAGAAAGTGTTGCGTTCCCTGGTTTATATGTCCCGGTGTTGACAAAAACAAAACAAAAAAAAAAACACAGATATTTACATGAAATTCCAAATACACCTTTACATTATTCCTTGTCAAAAGCTAGAGCTGCATTTGGTGGCTTTTTAGTCTTCGCTCACCAAGAAAACTATTTTTATTCCTCGTCCGAAGCCATGTCACTCCTCTACTCCCTACGGCCTGTTGCACTGTGCCTCCTCACCACTCCTGCCCTTTTCCTTCACCTCATTCAATATCAGTTCAGAAACAACTATATAAAAACAGTGGACTGTGAGAAACGGAACAAATAAAGATATTTATGTTGGTGAGGAATTGGTCTCTGTTTGTCCTCTTCTTTCTTTCTTTCTCCTACTCTCTGGATTCAATACATTTTCCTCCATCCCTGACCTCCAGGGTGTCTGCTCGATCTCTCCACCACATGGGCAGGAGAGGAAGTGCATACTCAAACGTGTGGGGCGTGCTTCCCGTAGGGGGACGCAGTGAAGGGGCTTCCAATGGAATATGGCACGCTGGACATACATGTACCACCGCTGTAATGCTGGAATGATGCCAAGCCTCCAGTCACTAGGTGGCAGCAACTCATACAGTGCTTTGTACAGATACAATATATAGCATATGTTATTGATGTTTTACTGATGCTCAGCTTCGCTGCCGTCAGGATCCACCAGCGGTTCTTCGATGATGTTCCACTTCATGTTCACTTATAAAATACAGGCTGCAAAATGTTAAATTAATTAATAATGCCTTTTGGTATTTATAAAAAAAACTTTATTTAGATTACTATTTTTTTTTTTAAAAAAGGCAATCAACTGAAGGTATTTCCAATGGTGAGTCAAAGCTATGAGTAAGAGCTGGCTCTGGATTGTTAAAACTAGGGTTTTTTTTGTAAAGACCAAGCATTTTATAAGGATGGAAAATAAATAAATAATAAATATGTATAAATAAATATTATAAATATTTATATTATATATTGTATACATAATATATTATATTATATTATAATATAATATCATATATTTTTTATAATATAATATATAAAATTATACTTGTGATTTTACTTATATTATATTATATTATATTATATTATATTATATTACATTATATTATATTATATTTAAATAAATAAATATTATTTATAAATATATAAATAATATATGTATAAATAATAAACAATACATTTATTTGTTATAACATAACAAATAAAAATAAATAGAAAAGCACTTAGCATTTGACTCCTAAATATATTCCTGTTGTTTTCCAGTAGCTCCGTGCAGAAGTTTGGACTCTGACCCTAGCCGCAGAGGGGTGGGAAGAATGGACAGAGCCAGATGAATAGAGCCCATTCTTCGGTCGTCAACTACTCATCTGTGAGAGAAACTGCTGTGAATGCAGAAACGTATATAATGCATATTTGAAATCCATTCCTGCAAAGTCTCCCAGTTAGATAAAGTTTGATATTTTTATTTCACTCTGCAAAAATAAAACTTTAACACTGAAGTTTTGCACATGAGCCAAGCCAGGTCGAGAAACAAGTCAATAATTGACATGACGTGGGAGTTTCTAAAACCAAAAAATTATAACAACGAGGCACAAACTGCAGCTTCCCCCACGTTAGAAAACTTGCAGACTTCTTTCGGGAAGTATCGCAGCTACTTCCTGTCTGACCTTTGCGCCCCGCAATTGACTATTTTAATTCGTTATTTTATCCACTCAGTGACAATCAGTCCCAGAGCCACTGTGGGCCACAGCAGTGATTTTCAAACTATGGTATGCATACCACTACTTGGGCTCCCCCTTGTGATTTTAGGGGGGGGTGAGGAGGCCGAGGGGGGTGGAGGTTTTCAAACAGCCTTTCTAGTTTCTTTGTGTTTTGTTGTTAGGCTGTGTTAGTGTGGTTTCACAATTTAGTTTAAACGCTGTTTCAGTGCTACCTCGTTGTATAGTGTAGCTTTGGCTAACATGTGTCAACAGTCTCTACATTATTTCCTTCCTACATTGTGCTAAGCTAAGCGGCGTTAGCCCGTGCTGCTTTCTTATAATATTATTTAAATTTAAATGTAGGTGGTACATTTAGAGCTAAATATTTTAGAGGTGGGACATAGTTCAAAAAAGTTGGAAAACTGGTCTAGAAGTTTGAAAGGAGGGCGGGATTACCGTGAATCAGTGCGAGTTGCCCCTCCCCGTTTGGGCCTTCACGGAAGCGCGTCTCCCCTGCCTGCTCGTCTCCCTCTCTCGCTGTCACGCTTTACTACAACCAGTCACGGCATTCCAGAGAGGAAGTTACTAAGATTGGAAAACGCATAAACAAGTGTGAAGCTGTAAAAACTACGGGAAAGACAGCGTAGAAGTAAGAATAGTGACAACGGTGGGTCAACAGAACATGGAGTAGAAGCAGCGGCGGCTCGCAACAGATGGAGGCGTTGAGAAGTTTGCTGTTTGTCGGGGCCGTGCTGCTTGGAGCGTCGGCTGCGCAGGGCAGAGAAGGTGGGTGAACTTCCAGAGCTCCTCCCGACTTCCTTACGGTAAAAGTAGGATAGTCAAGGCGTGTGAGAGGGAGGCCTGCGGGCGACTTTAGTGGGACTGCGTGGGGGTCTAAGGCACATATTCCCGGCGAGGGACAACATTGTTGGTCGCTTCTTTCTTCCAGTGTGCGTGTGTTCATGTAGGCGCGTGCACATTTCTCGCACCTGTCACTCAGTCTGCTGCTCATCACTACATTCTTATAGTCGCAAGTAATGTCGCTTTTTTTTTTTTAAATTGATCAATTTCCCTCTTTTTTTTTTCTTAATTTGAAATTGCAGCAAGCATTTGTTGTCGTAATTTGTTATGGCTCGCGTCTTTTTAGTACTTTTAATGACTGACTAAAAATCAGAATATTGCGCAGTTCCCAGGAACTGGTTACATTGTACTGTTTACACTCAAGCAAAGTATCCACATTGTAGTCTTATTTGAAGTACACTGTGTGAGAGGTCGACAAACCTGAGAGGTCGACGACCCAGAGGAAAAATATTAGAACAAAACACAGCAGTATTTTTATAGAGAAATATTTTAAATTGAAGTATAAAAAAAAATAAACAAACAACAATGCATGTTCTGCAGTTGGAGTCTAATAATAATAATTCAGTAAATAAAATTCTGAATTTTTCCCAACCTCAACCTAAAATTGTTTCACAGCTCAGTTCTTAATCTCTCATTTGGATAAAATATTAAATGGTTTTGTTTCGTACCAATGCAAAATACAGTACTGTTTTGTATTTTGTTTTTTCAGAAATACATTTTCTCAATAGAATTGTAGAGCAGGATCTTAAAGAACATTGCCCCTTGATCAAAGTTATCGTGAAATGAAATGAAAAGTGCATGTTTTCAGTTGATTCTACTAACGTAAAAACACAGACCGACTGGCGTGAAAGAATAAAATACTTTTTTTCATGAAAAACAAATGTTTAAACCAAGGTTAACAGGTTAGGTGAACATAACAAATGTAACAAGATGATAAATATACTTTTACAGAGTTGTTATTTATGGTTAACATAAATGTTTTAATAAAAGATAGACAATGTTAAAAATTCAAATTAATACGCACCAGTGGCCACTTGGGGCAGTGTTTAAAAATAATCAGGAATCAAACTTTCTTATAAACATACAAATAGAAAATGAAATCTTAAATGTTGAGCAGCAGCAACTTGATGAGCTAAAACTACTTAACTAACTAACTAACTAACTAAATCAAACTAAAAATGAACAGAAAAAAGTCATTTGTATTCATCTAGTGGAAATGGTGCCAGAGGGAACACATAAGAGGCCACATACTGCTGACAAAGTTCATTTGTTTTTAAATCTCAGAAAAATATTTTTGCAAATTGTACCTTGACTCAAATGCTCACGTAACAGTCGTGAGTTTTCCACCGCGTGCAAAACAAATTTAGGATATTCTCTGATTGTTGTTTAACTTTCATTTGGTCAGTTGGAATTTTTTTTTGTCTTCTTTGTGCTTCTACCAACTATTTTTGCTTTTCAAAATGAGGGTATAGATCGCAGGCCAGAATTGTCCTAAAATTGAACATGGCGGGCCAGGGCAGGAGCAGATAGATGGAGTGTTCTTGTGAACTAAGATAAATGACATGTAAAAGTCATGCATAAAGGCTAAAATGCTAAAATGTTTTTATAATTTTCTACGCCATCGATTGGGGAAACGTGAGTATTGCAGGGAAACGGCAGAAGTATAATGATAATATAAATAAATGATATAATACATTTGGCGGGGCCAGATTAAAAAGCCGAACGGGTCGCAACCAGACCCCGGGCCTTAGTTTGCCTATGCCTGTTATAGATCGATATCAAGGACCTGCCTCAATTCCCAATTCCCAACCCAGATGTTGTTGTCAATTCCCAATTCCCTATCCTGATGTTGGATTGGTTAATCTCGATTATAGATAAGTAACAGGGACATTTGAGCGGCTGGTTCATTATGGGTCAACAAAAACAAACCGACAACAATGACAAGCACTGCGTTGTTGCCCAGGATCATGACAATGTCAATTATTCACTCGTGGCTCCAAAGAGGACATTGTCTGATAGAGGGCCATTTGTCCAACTGGGGCAGGCCTACATGCCTGTCACATTGCACATAACTCCCGCGTGCTAACAAGTGCCTGTTTACTGGATGCTGAGGTCTATAGATAACAGAAGAGGGCTGTTATATATTTTTAAAGTGCCTTGTTTTATTTCACGATTATTTAAAGTTTACTGTACATTTTAAAGAGCTTAAAATATAATCACTCCACATAATCCATTCATTTTCATCCGCTTATCCGTTACCGGGTCGCGGGGGCAGCAGTCTCCATGACCGCCACCTAAACCCCCCCAAACCTTCCTGCGGGTGGTGAGTCCACTGGAAGGTACCAACCGCCCTAACCGGGATTCGATCTTGCCCAGGAGGTGTGGAACCCTGAGGTGATATCGTTGTGATATTGTTGGCTTGTCACCTGATATTGTTGGCTTGTTCGGCAACCAAGTTATGGTACAACAACTGGGGACATTTTCGATTAAAGATTTTGTTCGTGAACCGAATTGTTCGAAAAGGGAGGTGTTCGACAACCGATGTTCCACAATGAATTCACATTCACGAAATGTAGTAATATTTGAAGCAACAATATTACATAAGTAAGTACAGCCAACCCCCGAGATACGAGCTTCTCGAAATACGAGTATCCCATGTTTTACGAGTCTGCAACTATTGAAAGATTTTGCTCTCGACACGAGGAAATATCTAGTTACGAATATCTGGCTCAACCGAGGACAGGCATGCGTTCAGTCGGACGACGTGGGGAAAGTCGCGAACTCTGATCCCAGAGCAGCTGCCGAGTTCATCATGAAAGTTTAGAGTTCAATAAAATAATAATAGAAAAAATATATATATAATATTTTCCATGGTTAATGGCCCTAACACTTTGTGCTACTGTCTCGCTCATTGTCCCTCGCGCGGTTATTTTACCCATTTTCATAGGAATAATATAAAATGTTTTCTTAATTAAGTTTATTATATATTATCAATATATTTGTTTATATCTATGTTTTTGATGTTTAGATGTTTAAAAATTAATAGTATATTCCCGGGGGGCTGGTTTGAATCAATTGGTTTTAAGTTATTTTTAATGGGGGAAAAAAAATGAAAATTCAATCTAGACACGAGTGCTGTTGTGGAACGGATCGAACTCGTATCTCGGGGGATCGGCTGTGTATAGACGTACTCGTTGAAGTACCCGTTGACTGTCGCTGCTGAAACCCTCGTCCAAACGCTGCAGTCGGGACGTGTAACTCACGTAACTCGCACACACAAACACACAAACTGCATTGTTTGCGTGAACAGGTTTGTGCACTTCTCTCAGTTGTGTTGATCTCCAAAGCATCATCGGAGTGTGAGCCCACAGTGATTTGTTGTCTTGCCTTACACTCGGCGACGCGTCGTGAGCGTGACTGACTACTGTTGGCCCGTCTTTAAAAAAAAAAAATGACAAAGTTCGCTGACGTCAATGGCTGATTCTTAGGTTTGTTTTGTTGTTTGACTTACACGGTCAAACACTGATGAACAGGTTGCAGGTGGCAAAACAACACCGTTATGCATCAGCTAGGTATGCACCAATACCAATTTGGTATTTAATAAAAAAAAAACAACAACATTAGCAAGAGCTACGAAAATAACGTATGGAGAGTAACGTGATGACGTCGTAAACTCGGCTTCGACTTTATTGTCAGATAAGTCGACGTGAAAAAATTGGAACTCGTCAGTGCATTAGTTTGAAGACTATTTGTTTAATATAGAAACATGTTTTCATTGTCAATTTGGTATTTAATAAAAAAAAAACAACAACATTAGCAAGAGCTACGAAAATAACGTATGGAGAGTAACGTGATGACGTCGTAAACTCGGCTTCGACTTTATTGTCAGATAAGTCGACGTGAAAAAATTGGAACTCGTCAGTGCATTAGTTTGAAGACTATTTGTTTAATATAGAAACATTAGGACAATAATAGTATTCTGTTAATGAGAAAAAAAAATCCAAAAATCTTTTTTTGGGGACCCATATTTTAAAAGTCGCAAACTTTTGCGACCCAGGTCAATAGACATTATTCGTAAAAACTCCTGGGAAACACTACCTTTGGAAATCTAATGTAATAATTGCATCTTTACAACAAACCAACCACAAATTAGCCAAATGAAAATGAATCAGCCACATAAAAAAATATTATTATTGAGCAGCATGTCATTTTTTTT